CAAGCAGTCAGGGCTTCGAGAGCTGTACCATGCTTGGCATGTCGATCGAGCCAGCGAGCGGGAGGGACAGAGAGAGAGAGAGAGAACGAGTGAGAGAGAGAGAGAGAACCAGAGAAAGAAAGAGAGAAAGAAAGAGCGAAAGAAAGAGAGAAAGAAAGAGAGAAAGAAAGAGAGAAAGAAAGAGAGAAAGAAAGAGAGAAAGAAAGAGAGAAAGAAAGAGAGAAAGAAAGAGAGAAAGAAAGAGAGAAAGAAAGAGAGAAAGAAAGAGAAAGCAAGAGAGAAAGAGCTGCCGGCAACATGGCACGATCGAGGCTCTTTATTGGAAAGAAGATGGCCACGACGCCGGACCGCTGGCAAAGTGTTGCTATGCTGGCGAATCCTCTCAGCCGATACTGTATGCGGCACTCATTCGGTCTAAAAGGTATTGGGCTGGAAGGTGGATTGGTGTGCACTACTGGCCCGTGTGGTTGCGCCGTGTTCGAGGACCCATTGCCGTTTGGCCTGTTTCGGCGTCTGTACGGGGCGTTGGTGAGTGCAAAATTGCACGGGCTGGCCGGTCAGGGACCCCTTGACGGAGGATGCCCGAAATGGCACCCTTCGGCCGCAGCAAACAACATCATACTGCAAGAATCACGCACCATGAGCCCTTCAAGTTGGTGTCCATGGTATCCACCCATTGTACGCCCGACCTACGTCTACGGACATACTCTGACTAGCCTGCGCCTGTTGGGTTCTACTGCATTGGGGGCCTGTGGGATGGTGTGGGTTCAGGTCCTCCCCCCCCCCAGATGCTTCTGCTGACGTGGCCTTGGCATTCTTGGCCCCTCCAAGTGCTTCCCAGCTTCAGCCACCTGCTCGGACTTGGTGCCGGCCTTGATCTTGATCTCCTTGATGTTGGTGCACATCTTGCAGTACCTCAGCTCTGGGTGCTCTTACTTGTAATGGGTTCATGTTTGGGGAATCTCCCCGGGCCATTTTGGAGATTTGTTCAGACTTCGGAAGCATCTTCCCACATTCGTCCAGCAAAACAAAACAAGTACTGAGTGCAAACATGGCAGCGTGATGAAAAGAACAAACATAAAGCTGGAGGACTGGTGCAAGTCCAGAAACAGCAAGTGCTGCATTGGTACGCTGGTACGCCTGTCATGCCTGCCTTCCATCGTAGAGCAAACAAACAGTGGGTGCTGTAGACGGATGAAGGTGTGGCTTGTGCTGAGAATCTTCAAAAGAAGCTTTACTAGCAGGATTGGGTTTCCACAGAGAGGACTTGCACCATCACAGCAGCACACGCTCGCATGGGAGTGCCCATGTTTTGTAAGGAACATCGGACTGAAGGAATCTCGCGAGGAGACTTCTCGAGGAGCCGAGGCTTTGGCGGCATGATTCCATACTCCTCGGAGACCTCCCGGAAATGCTTCCTGGGTGGACCGAATTGCACACGACCGTCACGGAACCCCCGCGCAGGAAACGGCTCTAACAACTGCAAAAAACACACCAGCAGCCTATAGCATCTGATGATTCTGCCACAAGTTCTGCCACATTCTTCTCCAAGCTTCAACAGCTCCTCCGTCGAGGGCCAAGTGCTCATGTTCTGGGGCACGGGGTTGTCCTCCAAAGGCCCAGGTTAGCCACATCGCGCCACGTCAGTGCTGTGCCTTTCGGGGCCATGGGACAGTGCCTCGTCGTATTGCAGGTGGTACGTCCCAAGCTCTGTTTGAAGCTTGGACGTGGTGTTGGCCTTGATACAACGCACAAACCATGAACATCCATGAACATCCATGAACCCTAGCGCAGCTTCGGACAGTCTCGCTGCCTCGCCTGGTCGATCCAGGACGTGCCTCCGACCAGGGCCTTCCCAGCATGTGGCATGTTGCTCTTCACTGGTCATTCCAGGCTAACCCACTCGCACCAGACAAGTGTTGCATGACAGCGTGCTGGGAAGCCTTCCGGTCGTAGACGACAAAGTTGAACTCCTTGTGCTTTATGAAGAACATGGCCTCGACAACCCAGAAACATTGAGAGGATGACGTTCGAATTCGGATGACCTTCTCTCAATGAGTCGCCGAACTCACTGCCCTGTCACTGCCTGCCGAAGTCCCGCGTGGCCCGTGCCTATGATGGCGATGGGGTTGGGCCTGAGCAACAAGAAAACAGGCTAGTGGAACTTCATTGTGGCTCGAAGACGGAATCAAATCCAAGATGCACTTTAAGCTGTCGGCCACTTATGCTTTTCACGCTTGAAGGACTTGATGCCCTTGACGTGCACCTTCCGAGCTATTTCCTGCACAGCGTGTCAATTGCAAATAGACTGAGCACAGGATGGTCGGCCCGCAACGCCAGCTCTCCTCTGAATCAGCCTGGGCGCGCCAGGAGCAGCCCTGTGCACCGGTTTCAGGTGTGTTCAGTCGTCTCAAAATTTTGGCACATCTTCAGCACTCCTGCCTGCTTCATGATCACGCTCATGATGCCGGGATCGCATCCCAACCTGGAAGGATGTGTCAAGAATGTAATAAATGTAATAACGACAACGCGACAGAATGACCCGCTCTCCGCTGTGTCGCGGATTTCTGGGGCCGGGAGCTTCATCGCCAAGAACATCTTGATCTCGAAAACCTGTGTAGTGAGAACCAACGCAGGGGGTCTTGCGATGCTATGTGACAAGATGCTGCAAGGCACACCACAAGTTGCGGACGGTGGTGCTCTGCTTGACGGGACATACGAGGACCTGCAGGACAAGCTTCAGGCAGACAGGAATAGGAACCGGATGGATCCTAAACCCTGGAAGCCACGGGTCCTCGTCAGTGCCCATGACACGCAACTCGCAGGTGGTGTTGGTGAGACTCTTGGGCTGCTTTTTGAGGTCGTCCAAGAACCTTGGGCTTATAAAAGGCAAAGGATTTGTGGCGTTTGCGGGTTATGGGGCTTTCAGGAGCTGAGGCTGGGACCATTTCGGCGCCCCTTCTTGGCCCGGAAGTGCCAAGGCCATGGCGTCTTGGTGGTAGAACTATCAAATACTTTTGTCGGGATTCAACTAATCAACCGTTCAAGCCATTCAGGGATCTATCAAGGCAATACGCTCCTGTTGCTTTTCATGCCTGCCTGCCCCTTGGCTCCCTGAACCCTGATAAGCCTGAGCTTGGGCTTACTATCAGCGTGCGCTTTCGCGACTTTTTGAGCAGGCAGACCGTGGCGGATGTGGCGGATGGGCTGCAAACTACGGCAAGCAAGCCGCCGCCTCAGCACAAGAACCTTAGAGGAACAACAGAAAACTTCATGAAGCCGTTTCATAAAAGGGCTTCTGCATGCGCTCCGTCAGGCTGCATCTTTCACACGGTGAGGCCCCATACCATACTATATTATGCTACTCGGAGAACGTACCACCACATCGTACTCAGCATGCAGGACGCCCGTGCGCGCTGCCGCTTGCCCCCTTTATGGTCTCAGAGTCAGCACCTGTGTCTCCCCAACACAACAGACGACTCCTGTACACCCCGTTGCGCATACTGCGCTGGCTAGCCATGCTAGCCCAGTTTCCGGAATTTTGTGGCCTTTCCGGAGGCGCCCGCGGAACCTTTGGAATCTTTGGTGCGCTTGGTGAGTGCAGTCAATGCAGTCAGCTGAGCGGCCAAATCGCCAGACTCCGATGCAGCTAAAACTGCCTTGCCTTCTGACAGAAAGTGTATCGCCACGTCCTTGGCAAGCTCCTCCTCTTTGGCATCGAGGAAAAACTGCAGAAGCTTCAGCGCCGATTGCCGACTTGGCCCTCGTTTTTGCTTTGGTAGGAGGCCAAGTTCTATCGCTTGGGCCCAGTGGCTGGCAAGCAGACCCTGGCGCAGGAAGGATTCGGGCCCGTCTGGCCCATGGAAGGGGCTGTCGCTGTCGTTCAGCGGAAGCTTGAAGGGAAGAACCTTGAAGCGGTAGGAGGAGCCAGCCTTTGGCTCCAGGCCACTTGCCAGCTCGACACAGCTCAAGGCTCCCTCTTCGGCTTGCACTGGCCATAGCCCGTCTGCTCCGAGCTCTGCCACTGGGATCCAGCTGCCACCGAACCCAGCCGCAGACCCAGCCGCAGACCCACCCAGGGCCAACATCCGCAGAACTCCCTGCGAGTCAAGGCTCAGCGGCTGCGCTTCGATGCTGAAGCCGATCCACTTCAGCGTGGACCACGGGGACAGCGGCAGCAACCCTGTGTGGAGCTTCTCCTTCCTGACGACATTCAGAATCATGTAGCGGAGATTGGGCTCCCTCCGTGGCTTCCGCTGATACACGACGAGTAGCAAGTCCTCATGCGCGACCATCGATACGACGTCACCAGCGAGCGACACAACACCGATGGGAACAAAGCTTGGCGTATAAATTCGCAGGAAACGCTGAGGTGACACAACCACAGCCACAAAGGAACTGCTGAGCGCCAACGCTTCAGCTCTTTCACTGCTGTCCAATGTGTGCCGGAAGCAGGCTTGCTGCCAAGGACTGGCCACATGGACCACAACTGTCGAGTTTCCACACGCATTGCTAACCAGAGCGAACAGATCTGGGCCGATCGCGCCCAGCTCGACGTTCTCCTCAATCTTGAAGCTTCGCACGCTCGACTTGTCTTTCCTGCGGTAGTAGTCCACATCCACATGGGCTCCGTGACCCATGTGACCCAGGTGACCCCCGCCTTGAGACCCTTCAGACTTTTCGAACTTCAAGGCCCTCGAGCCCGGTCTCATGCCCGGCCGCTGCGGCCGGGGGCTCGGCAGCATCAGCTTCAGGGCGCCGCAACCGTTCCAAGCTAGGAAGCGCCGGCGTCCCTTCAGCGTGGCCCCTGGCTGAAACCGTAGCTGCACCTTTCGGGCTCCCGTTCCGGAAGTTCCGGCCTTCTCCAGATCATGCAACCTTGAGCTTTGGGAGGTCTCGGGTGCCTCGAGCGAGGCCTGGGAGACTTGTGAGTCTTCGCCTGCTTGCTCCACCTGCCGAAGGCGTGACGCGGGTTCGAACAGAGACTTCAGGAAAGTCGCTGAACAGCGCCATTCACACAGCATGCCAAGCTGCCCTCCCTGCCTGCACATCCGTCTGAGGAACGTCTGCTCGCGAGACGTCCGCCGTTTTGATCTCGTGGTCGTTTGTGGGGGTGTCCTGGGTTTCTTCGGCACCAGCACGTCATGGATTGCCATGGTACGCAGCATGAAAGCCTTTCGCATCCTTTCACAAGCTGTCCACGCGCTTAGGTGCCTGCAGATCCTTTCTCCCGTTCCTTTCCTTCTTGCCCTTGATCCAGCACCTTCTCTCTCTACGCCCACGCGCTCAGGGACGACTTGGAGTGCCATCACCACTTCCAGTGCCTGCAGGTGGGCGAAATGTCCAGCCTGAAGATCAGGCTTCAGGGAGTGCAGGGGACACAATACTTAGGGGCGAAACTCTTCCCGACAATGGCTGCATCACAACCGATGGTGCCTGCGTGCCAACGGCGATGAAGTCACATCCGCCCCACCTGAAAGATGTGCCCCCCAGCTTCTCAGTTGATGGCTCGCTACCCTGAACCCATTATGTGTACTGGAAAACCAAAGGGAGTGACTGGTGACACAGCTAGTCAAAGCCAGTCTCAGGCACGCACACAATGCTGGACGGCTCCACCTTTCAGAGCACAACAAGAAAGTGCACGACAAAGCGCACGACAAAGCACACGATACTTCCGAACGCTGCAAGCAGGGTCGAGCCGCCCACCGTGAAGCGGATGACTCGGCACAGGCGGTGCTGAGTCCAGACCGCCACAGCCTGCGCCAAATCCCAGTAGAAGGCTGTAAAGAACACGTCAGTAATTTGGCAGAGATCGTGGGCGTTAGCATCTCACCCAGTGCCATGCCCATGCCTCTGCACATGCGCTGACCAGAACGTGCCCTGATGGAGACCTCCGGCTGTAGCCCACGCTGCTACGGTTCAGCCTATGGCTGTAACATGTGCACATTGTTTGCAGGGCAGAGACCATGAGGTCATCGTCGTGGAGAAGCGGTGGCCGCCTGAAGCAATTTGCAGAATAGCAACAAAGGTCACACTGGGAGCCGGTCAGCAGCCTTCCAGCTGCACCATCTCCTTGCTGAAATTTCTCGGCAGGAGCCGGACAGACCTTGGACAATAAAAGGGCTAGTAGACGAGACAACAAAGAAACACTTGGCATCCTTTGTCGGAAAGTGAGAAGCCAGGTCAGGGGCATATGCCCCGGCAGCGCCAGATAGTCGCCTGTGTGCCAACATGTGCCAACCATCGAGGCAAGGACAACTTTAAACTTTTATACATCAAACACGAAAGCACGGCTTTGCATGCTTTGCCGAGCGGCCGCTCGGATCCCATGCCATGAGAAGCCGCTCCGAGCCGACGCACTTGTTCCAGATCTTCGCACGATACTGCTCGGTAGAGGAGCTCACATCGAGCACCACGAGCTCCCCAGAAGAGAAGGCTGCGGCTATCCGCTCGGCCTTGTGGTCCAGGAAAGCGCACCGAACACCGCCCGAGGAACCTCCGCCCTTGAAGACCTGCTTCCTGGAGGACCCAGGCGGCGCTGAGGACCCCGTCGCTGTGGAACTTGAGGCTTCAGACCAGAGATCCACCTTGCCATCGTCGGTCGCGATGCAAAGGTAAGGCAAACTCGCGTGCCAGGACAGATGCCGGATGTCTAAAGTGAACCTACCAGCAATTCGGGGCTTCTGGTCATGTACCACACGCCCCTTGGAATCGAGAAGATGAACCCATGCCTGAAATCCGGCACTGGTCTCTTCAGCTACTGCCAGCATCCGCGCATCGCTCGAAACTGCAGCTGCGGTCACTCGGAGGCTGTGTGAGATCTTCTGTGCCCAACTTCTAGACATGGAAGTAGATGAAGCAGGAATCCCCAATCCTTCATCCTTCTGACCCTTCTGTGTCTCTTGACATGCCAGTCGGCCATCGGCCCCTGTGGTGAGAAGCCGTCCATCAGCTGAAAGGTACAAAGCTTCGCAGATCCCCTTGCCATGGGCTGCCGGCTGCAAAGCCGCCTGCGAAGTCGCTTGCGAGGTCGCCTGCGAGGTCGTCTGCGAGGTCGGCACAGCCTCGGACCCCGTTGCGGAAGCCTCTGGGCATCCAGTGGCTGAGGCACTCGTTGCGGAGCCCTGCTCAGCGTTCTCCATGCCCATGGGCTACGCCGGCATCCACGAAGTTTTAGGGATCCCAATGCTGCTGATGACCAAGCTAGGCTAGAGTCTCACTTGAGATTCCGGCACACGGCCTCACTCCATTGTTCTGGGGAGCGGTGCTTGGTTCCTTCATGTTCTGCGCATGCTTATCTGGAATATGTTCCACCAAGCAGCTTGATGCACGCGACACACGCAAAACTGAGATCTGCAAACACGATAACAATCAAAAATGGCCCTGGCAGTCAATATATTCAAGACAACAAACATTCCAATTCCAGTGGTCACGTCTTTGGGGCATTTTGGGGCCCTTCACCCGCCTCAAGCATTGTTTTTGCTTGCAGCGCTTTGCGGCATTCTACAACTGTGTCAGGGCTCCATGCCCCTTTCTTGGACGGTGGCTACCAGATGGATATCGCCAGTGGCTGAGCATCTGCAAAGCTAGTTACAGCTGGGCGCTAGCTGCTGTCGGTATGCAGATGGGCAGATGGGGTCCAGTATGAGTAGCTGAGCTGTCAAGGCATCAGACTCATGCACACGCTACTGACGGCCATCTTAATAAGTGCACAGCGCTCGGTCAGCGATTTGGGGTTGTCTTGTCAGTCAAAACTTCTTTGACGCCAAAGTACGATGCGCATCTCTGCGCTGCGAAGCACTTAGCTGCTGCATGCTGCACGAGATCTCGTGCAACTGGCGCATCACTCCATCACTCTCCTCATCATCAAGGCATTCAAGGCAACATGTCTTCTCCACGATGAAAAAAACAGAGCCGCCTCCGCAAATCATCTTTGCTACCAAAGGGCTGCTAATAAGCCCTCTGCGGAGCTCTGCGCGCTTGGCTGCGCTTGGGTTCCTCGCATTGAAACCCACAAGACACACAGGAAACTGACCTGAAAGAGCAAAGCAGACAGGTCCCAGCACTCGCCCACGTCCGGCCAGCCTTCCGCACCCTGTCTCCGCATTTTTTACTTCCGCGTTGCCGCGGCTGCCGTCCGCGCTCGGGCAGCAAGGCCCTTGCCTCGTCCCTGACGCACGAGGACTTCAGAGAAGAACGTTTCTGTTGCATTCGGGAAGACAACGGGACAAGGCTGAGCTCTGCTGGGGCCTTGCCGCCAGGACCGTAGACACCACGACCAGCACCACGGCCCTGGTGCCCAGGCATCTCCAAGCTGTGACAGGCAGAACAGTCGGAACAGGTTGCTGGGCCTTCTTCTTGAACATTGGTGCATGGCGAAGCATGTCCTGAAAGCAGGAGGAAGATTATGCGCACTCCGTGCAAATACGACATGATTAGAGTGATTAGAGAGCTTTGACTGGCTGCAAGCACAAGGCAAAGCGCTTATCAAAGACAAAAAGGCCAGTCAAACTGTCGGACACGTCGGAACTCATCGAGAGTTGCCCTGCTGATTGCGAGCAAGACTCTGGCAGGATGAAATATCGAATCTGCGAGCCCCTGACGGCCACATCAGGCAAAGGAATGAAAGATGTGCTCATGCTGAGGGTATGGCCTTAGATAGACCTGCTCGAGATTTGTCACCTTCAGCGTCTTCCAGTGGTCTTCCAGTGTGCTACAACTTCGGGCTTCCATTTGGTTTTGGGTACCAACTTCTCAAGAGTCGAGGCGATGGCCTTACCATCCCGACCGGTGACGGTGACACCCTCCAACATTGCGTTCATGTTGTCCTGCAGTTCCAAATTGGATCCACATGGTGTGGGGCGCCGGGCAAGAACGCAGCGATGTTCCATTTTGCACCCTGCCGCCTCACAATTCATCAAGTGGCCGCGGTACATCTCGCCTCAGGGGGAATGGGGGGATTGGGGACGAGACAGGGAAACCCTCGATTGGGGCAATGGGAAAACCCTCGTTTTTTCGACTCTCGAGGGGCCTGTCTTCAGCTCACAGGTGACCGTGTGGCCAATGCCCTCGTGCAGGAGCTTCACCTCTTGCTTCTCAAGAGGCTTTGCGTTGTGGCTTCGCTTGCTCTGATTCATGGGAAACTCTCTTGCGACTTAGGTGCCGGAATGCCGAGGCCGGCCATGAGCCCAAGGTATGGGACACTGCAGTCTACCCTCTTCTAACCCACCGCTTGAGCCTAACCGGGTCGTGAGTTGTTCTTCGAACTCATGCAAACTTGCTCAGACTCCCGAGCCCCTTCTTTTCCCGTACGAAAAAACGTCTCAGAACCATGGAAGCTACTTCCACCGAAAACACCTCGAGTTCAGGAATCTCGGTGGCGAGCATGAAGAAAAAGGAGCTTCACCGCTTCGCCTCCTGCATCCTCCTGCCTATCCGTGTACCGCCCTTTGCCAGCTCCATCCAAGTGATTGATGTGACGGTTCGTGTGCCCTGGAGGCCCGTCCACCTGCCGCATCTCGTCAATTTTGTCAAGTTCCACCTCTCGCGGCCTAACTTGGGCCTAACGTTTCTCCCGTCCTGCACAAAGCCTCTCTCCTGCAGAGACCTGCAAGATGCGCACCGACCGCAACAAGCTGGATCGCGAAGTGCTTCTCGGGCGGCCCGGCTCTCGACACGAAGTCCATGCAGTGCTTGAAGTGGAGTACAGCACTTTCGCCGCTGCGGTTCTCAGAACGGAAACAGATGTCTCGATCTTGGCAGTCTAGAACACCAACGGGTTCACCTCAACGGGATCTGCCACCACGATGTGGCTGACAAGCCTGGGGGGGGGAGGCAGATGCTTGCATCTCCTTGCAAACTGACAGGAAGAGGACCATCCCATGTCAGCCTGCGCAGACAGCTCTGCGAGCTTATCCCAGTGGAGCCGTTTCGCAGAGCTGGGGCGCCAGTTGCGCCTGGCCCTCGGCATGAACAAAGCACACGCAGCATCACAATAGCGGAGCGTCAACAACAAGCGCAAAAATGGTGGTGGACCTAGGCTTGCATCGTCCACATCCAGCACAAGCCTTTCATGGAGATGCTCCCCGCATGCTGCTTGATTGCTTCCACTTAAAGCAGCTTAGGGGGCCACCTGAGGCTCAGCATTCCTTCAGTGAGGTCCGGGGCGGTACACTCCATGTGGATCCTGGGAGGTCTTCTTGAGAGCAGGGCGAGAGCCAGAGTCCCAAAGGTGGCAGGGCTGTTTTACAAGACTTAGATTTAGACTTTGCGGCATTTAGGTCCGCAGGCGCGTAGGTAGCGCGAGGAGAATAAAGGTCAGGCCAGGAGGAGGGAGCAACCGATCAAGAACACCGCACGCAACGCCTCCTGATTACTCAAGCAAAAGGGGGGGGACAAGAAGGTTGGAAAAACAAAAGCTCCCGCAAGCTCCAGAGCCAGCTTTCGCAAATGTATGTGGCCCTAGGGGCTGCTGGCCTTCGGCTGCCGTCCCCGGGTGAAGGCACCTGCTTCCACAAGACAGGAGTGCGCAAGAGGCGACCTGCCGAATTTCCAGCGTGAGGCCGGGCCTTGTGTGTCACCGTCTCTTTCCCCTCCAGCACTAAACTGAGGCCGCAAGGGAAACTGCTCATGACATCGACCTCGGAAGCTTCTCTGGGAACGAGGTATCACAAACTCCACAACAACCGAGGGCAAAGCCAAGATGGGTGCCGGCAGCCTGCTGACATGCCTGTGCAAGCTACAGTAACCCTCCGAATCCCTCTACTTGTTGGGAAACTTCATTTCCTGCCTCCCTTCTCTGCAGTGGACACTCGCGGCTTTCATTTCCACGTGCGCAGTCAACAGGCTCTGGAAATAGCCTTTGCCGATGGCCGGCCTCATCCACATCATTCCGCATCCACACAGCCACGCAACTCATCCCAAGAGCGAGGTCCTTGCATGAAGTCCACCAAGGGGCGACGCAACAGCCGCGCTGCAATGGCCGACCTCTCCAGGACCTGGACAGAGGAACTTGACTCTGAGGGAACTTCCTGAATGCCCGGGCTTGACCTCGCCTTGCCTTCGTTGGGACCTGTTCTCCCAATTCGCGCACTGCCCTTTCCAGATCCTGCATGGCATGGTCGAAGGGTGTCGAAGCTTCAGTGTTGTACGTAGTGTGTCATGGTGTGTCCCGGCACGTCCCAGCCTCTGAAGCCAGCTCCGCCTGGGCTGGATCTATGGCATCAGTGAGCAGCCGCAAGGAGAGCCTCTGGAACTCCAGATGCACATGAGCTCACATGTCCCGTTCCGTGCAAGGCTGCTCGAGGCTCAAGTGTGAGGATGGAACAAGCGAAGTGCCAGCAAGATCCTGCCAGAGCCAAGAGCAAGAAACCGAAAGCCGATCTGCAAGTAAACATCTGGCGGATCCTGGGAAAGGGCTGCACCTGCCAGGTGAAGCCGTGCATCAGCCAGGAGATGGCCTTTAGGGAAAGCCACATGAAGAAGGGGAGTTGGAACAATGATGCTTCACCGTGAAGGAGACTCACTCCTTCGACTTTTTAGTGTATGCCGAGGGTGCAGTAGGGTCTGAATAGGGACTGGTCAAATTTCACTCCTGCCACTGTTGTATATGATTTCTGTAGCAGGGCCAGCGTCAAATCTGCTTCCCTGATCTATATGAGTGGCTCATTTTATGCCACCCTGATCCGTCCCCAGCCGCAGCGCCTGGTGAAGTCTGACGCTTGAGGCCAGCCGAAGTCCTTGACACTGGCTCCACGATGGCACGCAACTGGAACAGCCATATAAAGCAGGGTGTATATTTCTGGTACCCCCCAAAGGACACCAGGTATATACACTCACCAATATTAAAAAGGAACCTTATATACACTCACCAATGACAGAAATATAAACCCTGCTTCATATCAGGTTACATCACTTGCTGTGCAGTCTGCGCGCCTTCCTCACGGCTCTGCTGGGCTGCCTGCTCCGTGCACAAAATTATTTGGCTGTGCTCAGGCTGGTGTGCCCGGCCTCTGCCACACACCTCAGGGCTTCTGCCCACGCCGCTGCTGCCGCAAATCTAGAACGAAGTGGTGAAGGGCCTCAGCATCTGTTTTGACAAGATTACAATAGGGTTAAGGTTTCGGGGTGTGCTCGGAAGGCCGCGCATGGTAAGCTGCCACAGTCCAATACTTATGCATGTTGCCATTTCCTAGCTGATACTCGGAGTGACAGGAGAGGTGGGTGAGGGGGGGGTGGTGGGTGGGGGGTGGGGGGTGGGGGGGGGGGTGGGGGGTGGGGGGTGGGGGGGGGGTGGGGGGGGGTGGGGGGTGGGGGGTGGGGGGAAGAGGTTGACTCGAATCTTAAAGTGCCGAGGTCGGAGCTGGCATCCGAAATTCCCGCCTCAGGAGTCAGGTTCACAGCACTCCGGCGAGCTCGTAGGTTGCAAGCGTTTGGGCTTTTGTGGGAGCTTCTGCCCTTCCACGGGAGGTCATCGGACCAACAGGAGAGACAATGGACTGCCGCATCAGAAGTGTCGTTTGGGACTGGTAGACAGCCATGACAGCCTTAGGGCCTAGGTTTTGGGGCGGTTCGGGCGTCGGGTCTTGGAGAGATAAGTAGGAGCCGAAATCCTCCGAAAGACGGGAAGTGGAGCATGTGGAGCCTCCCCGGAAGCGGCAAGCGCAAAGACCCGGTGCAGCTGACCTGAGAAGCAAGAATCCAAGGCGCCCCATCCAGGGCTGAAACAACGGAAGCCCTCACAGCTTCTCCAGACAGAGAGCCTGTGGGACAACCACAAAGCAGCGCCGCGCAACGAAAACTCGTTGCACTTCGCCCCGTCCAACAACCACCTCATACCCGTGGTACCGGGGTACCCCCTCGGCTTAACCCCCCTGACAGTATGCAACCACCTACAAGCTGGGCGTCTCCGAACAAATCATGATCTGTCTCGGGCAAGAACTGAGTTCAGCGGACACTTTGTGCAGCCGGCCAGAGATTCCAGACGGTGCCTGTGATAAACGGCTTGTGTTGGCTTTGATGGTTTTGATGTGGATGCAGGCTACCATGCGCCACCCCTGACCCCAAGAATCCGGCCTCTACGAGCCCGGTCGCGACAACATCCCAGTGAGCTTCCAAGGATTGGAGCCAATACGTGAACCTCGCGTACTCATTCTCGGGAGATAAACAAACGCATTGTTTCATTCAAGAAAACATTCGTGACAAGGTGCCAAAGAATCGCTACAGATAACCAACATGCAGGTTGCTGAAGTCCAGGCGTTGACTGACCTTGGAAATCCTCCAGGCTCCTGCGCGCCGAAGTTGAATTTGATTGATCAGCGCTTCTCAACGCCACTCGCTCTCCTTCCCGTGAACGATGGCTACCATGAGCGCACATGTCGTAATCACTCCTCGGCGGCAGCGCATCGTCACCTCGTAGATGCTCGGTAGCTTCTGGACACCTAGAAACACTGGAGCTACAGCAGCGTAGTGAGAGCAGCAGGAAAGTCGCGACAAATGAAAGCAAGCCAGACAGAGGCGGGCACTGCTGCGAAAGCTGGTCCACCAGCACACGCAGCCTCTGCGAAACACTCTGAAACGTCATGCCTGCCAGTGATTTTCTTGAATCCAGGAAGTGTGGGGAGGCCACCGGTCCATCTGAGTAGACCCTCTTCCCTGTGCGAGTCCAACGGATATGCCTGCAGTACCAACAATGCAAACGCGTCGGAAACTGCGCTCGTTTTCAAGCGTACCACTGGCCCACCCTGGGCCCTGTGCCCGCCTGCGGGCGCCAGCGGCTCGGAGCCGTGCAGCACTGTGGCCGTAAGCAGCCTCCGGGCATCTATTATTGATCGATTGACTTTGCAACTTGAAATAATTGTTCGTGGGATGTCAGAAAAGCACGTAAACACAGAGAGAGGGAGGGAGAGAGAGAGATCCTCACTCTCGGTCAGCCGTTCTCCACGCCTGTACTCCTCGCACTGTTTTCCCGCGGGGCTCCTGCCCCCAGAAAATCCTGCCGGACTCCCGCAGAAAATCCCGACCCCCAGAGAATCCCGCAAAGAATCCTGCCCTGAAGTGTCCCTGGAGCGTCCACCTCGACAATCCCGTGGAGCGCATCCCTGGAGTGCCCGAGAACCCCTCAGATTGTCCTGTCTCCAGAAATGGCAACCGCGGCAGAATGCCGCAGCCATGTATTTTAAATTAGGTCATTCCTGTCGGAAACTGGACATATATAGAGGGAGAGCTATAAATGAAAGCACAAAGAGAAACGAAAGAGGGAGTGTGATCAAAATAAGACAGAGAGTGTGATCGAGAAAAAGAAATAAGGAAAGAATGGAAAGAAAGCGAGACAGCATAATCGAGAGAGAAAAAGAAAGGAGACAGCGCTGAAACTAGGGTTTTGGCAGCAGGTCGGCAGTTCGGCCTTGCGCCCGGCTTCGCAGCCGAGTCCATCATGATCACTTTCTTCGCCTTCTTGTACATGTCCGGCATGGCCTACAAAAGAGAATGCCGGTGCGGCATGTGCGGCATCTGCGTTGCACCGGAACATGTACGAACCCTCGTGGCATCGGAGGCCTCCAGCCGCTTCAGCTCCTCAGCCAGGCGGAGGGCTGCGGGTTCCAGATCCACGGAGAAGCCCTGGGCAAACGTGAGCAAACGCGGGCAAACTAGCACAAACTTAACATGTAATCTCGGGACATGCTACTCACTCACACACGAAGTGGATAGATCGTTGGCCACTTTTCGTACTCCCGGATTGAGTGGTAATGTCGAGGCGTCCAAACCGAACCCGTGCAGCAGGTGTGTGGTAGCGGCGCCACATCATCTCCACCCCTGCTGTACGAAATCAGTTCGTCGACCCCTTTCCGAGCCGGGAGAAAGAATGTACAATGGGCGGTGTGGGCGGGAGAGCAAAAATCTCTGGTACTGCTCCCGAGCCTCGCGCGGCTGCGGGGCATATGTATATATATGTACATTCCTGATCACAGTTCTCGGCACTCGCTCGCTACATGTCACTTTGCATCGAGATGCATCCCGACATGCTACTCACTCACACACGAAGTGGATAGATCGTTGGCCACTTTTCGTACTCCCGGATTGAGTGGTAATGTCGAGGCGTCCAAACCGAACCCGTGCAGCAGGTGTGTGGTAGCGGCGCCACATCATCTCCGCCCATCCGCGCCCACACCCCATACACGGAGGGGCTAGGACGTCTTGGACCATTCCCACTTCATCGCAGTCACACGCTCACAGAAATCTTCGAAGTTAGTATGGTTGAGGTCGCGGCATGCCTCTTCCAAAGGTGTGAGGTCTGAGACCAACCGATGCCATCCCTGCTGCGCTATGGAAAGGTCCCCTCTGGATACAGGGTCCGCAATATTGAGTGCTGATGGTACCCAATGGAACTCCGGCAACCAGGACTTGTGCGCAGCCAAAGTCCAGAAGGCTGTAATCATGTAGTTTATGACCTCGTCGCGCCCAAAACCTTTCTGCAGCGCCGCCATGCCCGGCTGATTGTCAATGAAAGAGATCCATTCAGCTGGTAGGGCATGGCACAAAACTACGAATGCGACAAGTTGTGCATAAATCTCGAGGAAGTAGATGAAAGCCCGTCTGGTGCAGAACTTTTCAACCAAAGTTGGGGACACACTCCCGTGTCCAAAGAACACTTCGTCACCAATCCTGACGACAAACCCCCAACCATTTCTGGCTGCCAGGCATGCTTCTCGCGACCACTGTGTGGGTATGTCCTGGTCAGACAGCTTCCAGACCTTGTCCCCAAGCTCAAAGAAAGCATCTGTGTACAAAACGGTTCTTCTGTGGGGTACATGAAAAGGAATGAACCGAGGCCTGAGATGCAAGAGAATCACTCGTAGCGCAGTTAAGGCCCCGCGCAAACCCGTATTGAGTTCGTCCGATCCAGCCCTCGGGTTCCGGGATCGCGCATACAGTGGCTGCAATGCCGCGGCTCCAGCTCGTCCAAAGGCAGTGGTTGCAACAAACGCCAACTTCCCCGCCAGTCTTGATGCTACTTCGGCATCTAAGCGCCCAGAGGCAAGGATCTCGTCTATCTGGGCCACTAATTTCTGGACTCGTTTGGGGTCAGGCGCAAGCTGGATACCGGATCTGAGGATGCGAATGATGACGCCCAAGAGCTTCTGTTCGGAAGCCGGGGCTTGCGCCTTAGAAGGTTTGAGGCGAAAACCGAGCAAAACACAAAACTCGGTGAAGGATGAAAAAGCGTCTTCGACCTCGCCGTCACCGTGCACGCCCCCGAGGTCGTCAACATAATGCAGCATCGCCACGATCAACAGGCACCGAACCAGCCAGGTGAGCGCGTCGGTGACGCGACCAAAACTCCAGACACTGGCTGTGCTACCAAAAGGCAACACTCGATGTCGCCAGAGTGTGGGCCCAGAGGGGGTGTCCAAAAGCATGCACGCATCTCCTGGCTCACGCACCGGATAGGCTCTATATGCGTCTGCGAGGTCCTGACACCACACCATGACCACAAGACCCAATTCTACGAGAGCTCGTATGGCTTGGACGTACACTTCGACGTCATCATACTCTGGCCTATCCCCCACTGATATCGTGGCGTTGTGATGGGATCGTCTGTAGTCCTCACACCTGCGAACCTTTCTGCGGCCATCCGACCCTGTCTGCACCACGCTGAAAGCGCGCTACGAAGCACGGGCCATCGGGGATGGGCGCGACGTCAACGCCCCAGGAAGCAGCCCCAACCGTGCTCTTAGGCCAATCTTCTGGAGCTTGAAATGGCCCTTCCATGCGCCCCAGCTGTACTTCTGTGACGACCTCGGTCATCATGGCGCGCCACTCCGGATCCACTCTAGGTTTACGAAGCTTCTCTTTCACATAAGCAGAGTTCAATCCGCGGAAAGCCTCCAACGAGATAGGGTGCCGGTACGCATCATCCAAACGAGGCCTCCATCCAGGCGAATGAGCAACCGGACCAAGTAGGGGGAAGCCTCGAGTGAGATCGAGCTCGAGAGCCTCAATGTCGGGGTACCCGCACTCTCGGAGCAAGCGAAGGAAAACTAGGACTTCAAAACGGTGACCATCTGGATGTGTGTATGCTTGGCGCACGTGTGGTCTCACAGCAGCAAACCATGCATCCGTCTCCACACGCAACTCAGCGATCATGGATCGAGTGCCCTGCAGAACCACCGATCGATGGTCTCGTAGCTCTCGAGGATTCATCTGAGCAGCGCGACGAAGAGTGATTAGCAACCCGGGTTCTAAAGATGGGGGCTGTGCAGCGTGATGACACATGTGCTGGCTATGTTCCCAATGCTCCCACATGTTGGCCGACGGTGGCATGCCACAAGAAGTAGGGGCGCGTTCCCTAGTGATGGGCAACCCCAGTGCCCTGGCATCGGACAGAACTTTTGTCCACTGCGGCACAGACTGCCTGGCCGATCCGCTCGGCTCCGAAGGCAGTGCACAGGACGAGATTCCCTCCGCCGAAGGCACACTGGAAGACAAGGCTACGGGCGCGACATCACACTGCCCGCCGACAACGGTGCCATGAGTCAAAATCAGCTTGAAGAGGAAGGAGGCTACACCCCTGTGATTTCCTAGGTACCTATGCCGGTCCCGGGAGCTGCATCCCTCAGACGAAGTCCACCCTGCTGCCAGATGGTGAGACTGCTCCTTGATGGTGATGGGAGCTGTGACGAGAGCCCCATTCGAGGAGCGCAGGAGGGCATATTCGTTGTAGTGCCACGGTGCGAAAACTCTACCAGATTCTAACCACCTCTGTCTGGTGGCAGAGTCGATCTTGGATTTGCAGGACTTGGGCGCCGGCCTCCCAGCATCTGTGGGGGCCGGCGTCGTATAGCACGGGAGGACCTTTCTTCCAGACTGAACCTCATCACTGAACGAATGCCCATCCATGTCGTACCGGGTGAGATCGTCCCGTTGACAGTCGACATGAAGGCGCTTCAGACGGCCCACCTTGGACCAACGAAGCCCTGTGCACTGGGTCCAGTCCACTGGGGTCCACCAGACCCTGGGCCTGCTCACGACCCCGAAGTCTGCCGCATCAACTAAAACTGGTTCAACCCCAAGGCGCTTGGAGAAGTAGTCCTGGTCAGCTTTAGAGGCCATAATGACGTTCTCGACCAAGATGCCCACACGACGATCACGCAGCTTTACACGCAACTGTTGGTACAGATCGCAGAAGTATGCGAACAGCTTCCCGTGTGACCCGTCGCGGCCCTCGCCCTCGATGATCGTGCTGAAGTCTGGGCACGGAGGCCCTGCAGCTATGATGACCTGCATCCGCCGGTCAGGATCAAAGGAGTCGATGGCCTTAGCCACGCATTCAGGGTCCTCGTCCTTGATGTTGCCACGACAGCGGAAGGTCCCAGTAGAACGATCTCTGGAGATCCGCACGGCGCCCTCATCGATTTCCCACGCCATGGTTAAAGCGACTGTAGCATGGTCACCCAATGCTGCCGCCGCTACCCCAATACCATCGAAGAAACTGAGCAGAATGACTTCCGGTTTCGGCAGCGTGGCTCTCAGCTGCCTGCGCTGAGGCGGCGCAGCAGCCACCTTGGGACGCAGCGACGCCCCAGGCGTGGAACCCTTGGCCACCGACCCTTTCAAAGCTTTGGCTTGAGGTGGAGGGCTGGTAGTTTCAGCTACTCCAGCCGGCACGGCTGGTGCCTTCGTATGCGTTGGCTCATCCACTGCGTCAGGTCCCCCCTCGCTCCAACGCTGGCGAGAGGTTCCCGCGGTTTCTCACTCCTTGGCCGGCCTGGCCGACGCCGCCAGCTCTTTCTCCTTCTCAGCTGGTCGGCGCCAAGAGCGATTCGTATACCACGTGGATCCGGACCACGCTGCATCGGACCACGAATCCTCATGCCAGCGCGGCTGTTTGGGATTGCCGCGGTCGCCTTTGCCTCCACCACGACCACCGCTTCTGCCCCCCTGCTGCCCAGGCCCTTTCGGCGGGGGCGGCACATCAGGCTGACGTGGCTTCCTTGCCACCCCTTCCTCATTCTGGCCCTCAAGTGAGCGCTTGGAGGGGCGTTTGGGAATGTCCCGTGCCATGGTATCCTGCCACAAGAGAGCATCCTGTAGGACCTCCTTGGCTGCCTGGGCGAAAGTGACATTCCCACGCATCTTCTGAGCCAAGCGCCACGCAACAGTCTCGTAGTAGACCTTGAACTGTTCCAGCCTGTTGTGCGCGATGCGAGCCTTCTTTTCAAGGGTGTCAAAGTACTCAATGACATCACGCTCATCGCCAATCTGCACCAGGATGAAGAGCCACTTCAACGAGGTCAGGCCATCAAGCACCGACAGCAATGACCTCGCCTCCCACTCTGAGTCCTTCTGCTCAGACTGCAGCTCCCCATTCGCGGTAAGCTTCATGGTGGCCTCCTTCTTACGCTTCGCCAACGGGTTGAGCTCGCCTGTGGCTGCAAAACTCCTGGCCTGCATTATGGCGGTGAGGGGGAGTGGTGAGTACTGTTTTGACACTTCATGCTCGAACTTGCAGCGAGCTATGACGGCGTCGGCCCCAAGCAACATGGATTCTGGGAAGACCCTCTCGCGGGCATCGACCTTCTGGCCATTGTAGCGCCCTATCATTCGTTGCCATTCACCTGGCGCCAGCTCAGTAGGCACCTTGGGAGGTGAGGCAACCGCAGCTGTCTGAGACAACAGCCCACCTACAGGGGGTGCCACGGCGGCCATAGCCTGGGCGTCCCTCTGCCTGGACTCAATGCAGAGTTCCCTCAAGTAAAGCAAGATGGCCTTGCCAATGGGCAACTCCTCTGCTGTGAGCCGAAAAATCTCGTTGGCTCCCTGAAAGCCAACCTGCAGGGGGTCCACCAGCGCCTTCACTAGGGTGTCCACGTCAGGAGCCAGCAACGACATGGCCCCAATGCTTGTGATGCCTCGATCTGTGAGGTAGCGCATAAGCAAGTCAGACGCCCCGGCTCTGGCTCCCAAGCTGGCCAATGTGTCCGGCGCAGCTCCTGCCATGACTTCCACCTAAACACACCGAGGCGACAGCTCGAACCGAACTCTGCAATGTGAATAAGTTGCTTAAACGCGCGCTGCCATAGCTCGCGAGCACTCACTTGCACATGTAAGTAGTGCACACGCCAGTGGAGACACGTGCACTCAGCACACGCACAGCTGGCTTTAGCAGCAAATGCTCCTTTGGCTCCAGGCCATGTGTGATCGTCAGGGGCCGGACGAGCTAAGCCCAACCTGGCCGAATGAGTACAAAAACATAGATGGGATGTGGCACCTGCAGGCTCACACACCTTGAACGACCTTCAATCTCGGAGGCTCGCGCCTCGGAGCAAAGAAGCAAGAGGACACAAGCCCACTCGCGCGTGGGAACAGTGTCACAAAAAGCCCCCCCGTGGGCATCAGTCCATGGACTGCAAGCCCTCAGTGCCTCCAGATTCGCCCTCCGACGACTCAGACTCTGCGAGGTCGGAGGATGCAGACGCACGCCGTGCCTCCTGCAAGGACATGGCCCAAGAGCTACACTAAGCACAGAAGCCCCAAATGCGAGCGCTGATCAACGCCTGTTTCGTGGCCACACGCAGGCGTGCAATGGTGAGCCGTAGGCCTAAACATGCGGCTAACAAAACTAGGTCACAACTTAAGCAAACGCCCATCCCAGCTCAGGAGGACGCAGAGGACTCGGAGCTGCTGCTTGAGCTGGAACTGTCCGACGACGATGCCACCACGAGGGCCTCAGCGCTGAAGCAACGTTTGCAGCGGCGCAATCCGCTGCCGACTCCCTGGGCAGTCACCCGATAGAATGAACTCCATCCATATGCCCAACCGCACGACGTGCGCCACAGGCCCACTTCATTGTGAGCTTCGTTGACTGCTACTTCATGTACCACGCCTCTGCGTGGTTGCACCACGTAGGTGACTGGCGGCTCCGAAATGGCTGCCCTCAGCACTGCTAGCTGATCCCGCAAGTCCTGGACCTCATCCGCCCACGGGGCAACACCAGTTGAAAACTCTTCTGTAGCCCGACTGGGGGTACGGCTGCGCCTCGCACGGCGCTTGGCCGGCCTCTCGCTCGCGCGCGAGGGCCCCTCACCTTCTTCAGAGAGGGGTGAATCGACAACAACGAGACCACCCTCACCTGAAGTGGAACACGCCTGCTGTTCAGGCCCAGGCACCATAGAGCACGCTGCCAGCACGCTATCAGGCAACCTGAGAAGCGGAGCGAGCTGAGCATATCGTTCAATCGCTCGACTGGTCCAACGACCTTGGAGCTGAAGCAACGGGATCCCAATGCCCAGCGAGGCAAGGAACTGCGTGCCCGACACGCGCAACACATGCCCACGAAAACGGGCAATCTCATGTCCAGCAGCGTCGGGCCTGGTGAGAGGTACCCCTGCTGCGTGGAGGACCCGCTCCACCATCCTGACTACCGTGGCCTTAGACACCGGATCCGTGCCCTGCCCCGGCAGTAAGAAAGGAGACACACCGCCCTGATCCTTGAGGATGTCGAGCCTGTCCAGGTGCCTTTTGGCTGCATGGTACGGACACAACGACTCATTCTGGGCCCGACATATGCAGCGATACGTTCTGACTGTGAGCTGCCCCTGGACATCTGTCTTGGAAACAGGCAGCAACAAGTTGACCCGATCTCTGCCCTCTAGGTACAAGTGACGAGCCTTCGCAGCACTGAGCTCAATCTCGCGGAGCATGAACCAACATGCAACTAACACGATGTCGGCGGCGGCCTGAATGCATTCCCATGAAAAAGGCTCGAGGTCCATGTCAGGGCTGACCAAGCCTCCCAAGATCCTCACATCAAAGGAGTCCTTCAGCGAGGCCGGGCCCAGGCCACGTTTCACTGAACGAATCGCATCCCTGATGGCCCAACGGACCTCCTCTCCTATGGGCTGCTTAAGGGTGCGCAACTGGTGAGCGATGGCTGCAGAGAAATACTGCGAACAGCTGTGGTAGTGGCCTGCTTTGAGGGAGGCCCCGACGCATTGCACCGTGTGAGCGGTGACGGGGAAAGGTGGGACCTCCCAAGCTCTGCACAATTCATACCACGCCCGTAGACGACTCTCTACAGCTGGACGCGATGTGGCAGCAAGAACGTCTGCCCTCAGCGCGGCCAGAGCCCTCTCGCGATTGATTGGAAGAGCGGCCTCAAGCGCAGCCGCCCAAGAAGCTCGAGCACGGGGCAAAACCACCGGGTGGTCAGCCCTAAAAGCCTCCAAGACGGGAGGCAATTCGTGCCTCCCACGTAAAATTGCCTCCAAGTGGGCAGCAGACACGCCTGATGCCACCAACACTGCCGCATTGGGCAAGATGTCCTCAAGACTGCGCACGCCATGCTCAAACAGCGTGGGCGCAAGGGCATACAGCCCTAGATCCCTAAGCCGAGTCCACAAAACTTCGGCCATCCTGAGCCGAAAAACCTAGGCAGCGGCCTGTACATGTTGGCAGAGAGGAGGAAGGGGGGCCCAGGCTCACGTGGGATTACGAGAAACGACACAAAAGACATGCCGAAGATCCGCAAAAAACCAGGTCCTCCACCTGGCATAGCAGACATCGTAGGCCATCCGAAGCTGGTCCTTGACCACGAAGCACGATCTGCAAGTCGTACAGCGCCTCAAGTAAGACTGCATGGGCCTTAGAGTCAACGGTTCGCCAATCTGCGAAGCCACAAGTTCCCCTGTGGTAAACGCCAGTATCGATGGGCATGTCCTCGTCCAGGTGCATGCCCGTTAACATGTCAAGGAGAGGCTTTAACACCCGCCGCTCAAGATGAGAGCAGTAAGCATACAGCGATATCAAAGAGTGCCGCGCGCCCTCGAATCGACGGTCAAAGATGATGTGCGCCGGCTGCCCCTCAGTCAAGCTCCAGACGCGGATGACACCCCAGGCGAATGCGACCTCCTCTCGGGCAGCACCGGCCGACATTGGATAAGGAAAGGAAAGAGCAAAAATCTCTGGTACTGCTCCCGAGCCTCGCGCGGCTGCGGGGCATATGTATATATATGTACATTCCTGATCACAGTTCTCGGCACTCGCTCGCTACATGTCACTTTGCATCGAGATGCATCCCAACTAGCTATTTCTGGAATGACCGTTCGGGTCAGGAAAGTTTCACGTCCAGAGCCAAAAGGCAAGACAAAGAGGAAGCAGCATAGGAAAGGCAGGATGGAAGACAGCAAAACATCCAAGCCTGACACCAGAACACTGAGTTGTGGAATAAAATGTGCGTAAAGACATCTTCAATACTGGTTGCACGGTTCTAGTCTACCGCCTGGCTGTTGTTCTGTGTGTTATTCCATTCTGCTGTTTTTGTGCCTGAGAACATCGAAGCTCACATTTGACTTGGACGTTTTGCAGATGTCCTTCTCCTGTTTCTGGCGCTCCTTTGCCTTACCGAAACTTCCCAAATTCCGAAACGGCACATGTTCTTGCTGACTCCGTCGCTCTCGTTCAGCTAAACTGACAGCTTCTTTCGGACTATTGACTTCTTCAACTTCCAGCTCCGACCGTTCTGCTCTTTACACGACCTCTTTTTATTGAGGAGCCTGCTCCACTGCACCGACGCCTATCTCGCTACGTTTGTTTGGAATGTTGCCGTACTGCCCGGAGTCCAGGCACTTCCACCAAAACCCCATGACATCGTTTCTTGAGTTTGAGCCCGGGCTGTCCTTAAGCTCGTGATCTTGAAGGAAGTGAGACATGAAACATGCTCCCGTCCTGCGGCAGCTCCACGCTGAGAATCCAGAGCACAGCGTCTCGGAGCGTCAGGAGGTCAGCAAAACGGCACTTCTCCAAGACACTCAACACCTTCAGGAGCAAGACGCTGGAGGGGACTCGCACAATGATGCAGCTGTCGGACTGAAGACTCCGAGTCAACTAGTCAACTAAGTGCTGTTCTCTCTATCATGGTGCAGCTATGTGCAGCCAGTCAGCCGCAGCCGGATCCCGCGGGAAGGCTTCCAGGACGTGCGCCAACATAGGGCCGGCAGCCTTCAAGGCTCGAAAAGTTGAAAGTGGGAGATGCAGACCCTCGAGCTGTGCAGGACTTTTCTATTGGGCATTTCTGGGTACTCACCGCTTGTCTTGGTGTCGGGTGGCCGCTTACACTCAGATCATAAGGGCTGCATGGTCTCCGCCCCGGTGCTTCCATGTGACGTCTTTCCAGAGCATCTTGGACTATTTTTGGATTTGTTATCTCTTGTGATCTTTTGTGATTTGTCTGATCTGTTGGGCTGTTCGTAGCCTTGGTATGACATATTTTGCATCACAAGATTCTTCATGCTGTAATTGGCGCTTTGGCCCACCCTTGAGAAGAGACCTTTTTTGTCGGAGGCCTTGTGGTTGCGTCAGCTCCACATTCTTGGGGCCAGCGTCGAGCTTCGTCTCACGAGCTCTTGGGGCTCGTTGTGCCCAGCAGGCCCTTCAAACCGTGCATCTCCCAACTCTTGTAATCCCTACGGCACCAGCAAGTTGCCTTCCCACAAGCATCAACATGCACGTAACAGCAAGCTCGAGAAGATCGAACATCTCCCAAGTAGGAGGAGTTTTCGGAGGCCAGGAAAGACGGCAACACCGGTTTGCCAGAATCATCTTGTTTCCGTACAGCCCTCTCTGCTTACGCATGCTGCATTCCACGAACGTGCCTCTGCTTCGTCTCGATCCCTAAGAAAGCTTGTTCATAGCAGCCCACGACATACTCGAGAGAAGAACAATCAGTGGGTGGTTCCCATCGATGACCGTGAGCGTTTGTCGTCCATGCCCTAGGTTTTGTCCTGCTTTCTTTTTGCAGTTGTCTGCCTCGTTTTCACTGCGCTCTCTCAAAGATCAAGCAGACCATGCAAGGGGACACAAGTTTTCTCAAAACAGCGACTATGACAGAAGTTGTAGGCTTAAATCGGTGGATTTCAGCCGAAGAACCCGGTGATTAAGGATATTAAAGATAGTCCAGCGCGTGTAAGCCTTGTTCTCGGTTGGGCGTGACAGGCCCACAGACCGCACGGACATGATCTGCACCAGCATGGCCTCAGCAATGTAAGAGGAATACCACGGAATTCCGAAGCCAACTCAAAAGGCAGTGACTGCTCGACACAGCGATTCGAAACAGTTTGCAGCTGGGAGCTCGGCAGCTGCCTCTTGACGCACAAGATCCTCAGGAATGATCCAATCCCTCTGTTGGATGCAAATTTCGGGTTCGTCTTCAGCGTCTCTGAGCAGTGGCACACCGAGCGAACTCTGTACAGAAGTATGTGTAGCAGCGTCAAAGGTCGCGCCCATGATGTCCGAGTTTACATACGCCAGCTCGCGTGCGGAAACAACGCTGGCACCGCTGTATCGAGACTGCGCGAGCTCCATCAAGAGTGTCGCAAGCTTGTAAGCCATAAGCAAAAGACTGAGCTGAAGCATGAGGACCGCACACTGCTGTCTTGGAGGCAGAGAGCGGCAATAGCGGCAAGCCGTTGAAAGAAGCCCTCGAACATCTTTGGCACCTGTCAAGGCAATGAGCTACGAGTAACATCCCGAGGCAAGGGTGCGTCTGCACCCTGCACAGGCTTGCTTGTCAGCACCTCTTCGGCAGCCCGCCTTTGACACAACTCCTCAGCTCAACGGCTCAACCTCTGCACCGACAGAATGGAAAGGCATGCACCAGAGTGGAAAAGTAGTGTAACACAAAGTGTCTACTTTAGACCAGGTGCAAGCAAAATCACGTGGAGCGCTCTGGCGCGAATCATCGGCTCTTCATCATCAAGAGCGAACAGGAGGACTCCATGCCTGAGAAAGTATCAGGTGCCCTTGAATCGTTCCAGAAGAAGAGACTCCAGAAGCTTGCAACATCTTGCGACGACCGATAAGAACGCACGGAAACAACAAGCCAAGTGGCCAAATCTCTGGAGGATCTATCTTCGACTTCTTCTTTTCGTCGGGTGCATCCTACGAGAGGTTCAATCGGGCATGTGAGGCTGCAAGAATCTAAGACAAGAAGGCAGGACGAGACAGTCAGTGTGCTACCAGCCTCCAGAGCCTTCTGAAAGACAGGCAGTTTCACCTTTCAACGTGGCCCAAGAGTTTCCGCTTGCTCAAGCTTCTCTGTCTCTTCAATTTTCACTGAGGGCAACACTGCTCTGTTCAAAACCTCAGGCAACCGGCTCCAAGGGCGAGCGCAGAGCTATCGTGGATTCGTGAGGGGCCTCCGTGTCCCAGCGGGGGAAGTGCTGAAGAGTTTCCAGTGCCGCAAGGCGTACATCTACTGACATTGATGCGGCTTGTGCCAGAACGTGGCGCAGCACGTCCTCCAAGGAGCAGCTGCAGGGGCTGTAGAGAATCTCAAAACACCAACGCAGAAGCTCGCGAAGACAAAGGGCACAAGTTGCAAAAGGGCAAAGCTGGAATGTCCTGTCCCAAACTTCCGAGCTCTGCGTCTGGCCCTGCATGCCTGGCGGGCATGTCAGCAAAGATCACAAGGCCACAAAGGGAGCGACAGAGACCAAGCCTGAGGATGGCGGTCAATGTCGCACAGCATGCGGCTCGGACGTCCGGCGAAGGATCAAAGAGCCGCCCTGCTGCCACCTCCCAGTCTGCCCCGAGTTCTGAAAGCACTGAACGGCTAAGGGCCTACGGGCTGGGAAGATCTTCCCAGTAGCGCAAGGCCAAAGCCGTTGAAAGCAAAAAAGCAACGGCAAGGCCTGGCTTCATGCTGGTGTGAAGCCCTGGCCTGTACGGCCTCCGCGAGCGGCCACTGAAGGAGCTCCTGGAGCTCCGGGCGCCTCAAATTACAACCAACGTTGAAAAAAAAAAACACACATCCGAACTCTCCAATGGAGGAAGCAAGAACCAAGAACTCTGAGAAGACGGGTTCGTGATGCATGCGGCGCATGCGGCGCTATGTCGTCGCATGTGCTTGCATCCCTCAGCGCCCAGCCCAGCCCTCTTCTGTCTCTTGGCTGCCGAAGACAGCGGCATTGTGCCCGTCGGCCCCGTCGGGCCCATCGACATCTGGAAGGCAAGGCTGCCATCGGCCCGACACCGGCGGCCAAAAATTTCTTGAGCCGTGGCCAGGGGAAGTTCTGCTGACATCTGCAGCACCGTGCCTTTAGTGCCCTTCGTGCCTTTCGTGCCCTTACCCTGGTCGTTGCCCCCTTGCCGATTTTACCGAGAGCTCACCTGGTGACCTTTCGCAGCACGTAGATCCAGCCTGGGCCCGAGGGAGGCTATGCAAAAGAGCAGGAGCAGGCCACCAAGGAGCCCCACAGTCCGTTATTGTCCGTCCCTCAAATGCAAGCAAGCCGCAAAAGGGCTGCAGGCGCGGGTCGCGCGACTTTCCGGCACCAGCTGCCAAGTCCTCTTCCCCTGGAAGCTCCTGAGAACAGACCGGGGAGCTGAAAGACAGTCTACTAAGATTCAGCACAGGGAACGCTCCTGCGGATCCTCGTCAGCCTCAACATCATCTTGAAGTCCAGCTTGAGCTCTCTTCCTGCCATGGAATCAGCATGTGAAATTGCACTTAACTGCACTTACTTGTATTTAACCTACTTCCCGGGGTCTTTCAGCAGCCGTCCTCGCTTTGAAAAGGCGAAAGGCGTCGATGAAGGCCATGCGCTTCAAGGCGGCTTTTGCCTCCGCGCTAGCTTGTTGCAGAAGCTCGGGATCCCGAAACGCATCCACCAGCTTCCCCGCAGGCGGCAACTTGGATCTCAGAACGTTGATGAGTGTGGCCTGTGGGGAGAGGCGGCATCGTCGGAGTTCCAAACATCGCCACGCCGGCACAGGCACATCAGATCCGTCAGACGCGGCAGGAACCGGAAAGCTGGACAGCGCCGATCGCAGCAGGGGCATTCTCTTGCCGCTGTGGGACACCAGAATGAAAATGCCACCAGGCTGCAATACTCGCCACACCTCCCGGCACAACGCTCCAGCAAGATCGTCTGCGTGGGAGCTCATCATGGCATCCAGCGTGCCCTTGTCGACACTCACGCCAAAAGAGTCAGACTTAAAGGTCATGGACGTAGCATCCATCACCAGCCAACGCATTGGCAAGGCTGCAAACTGCTGCTGCATTTTCTCGATGGCAGGAGAAGACACGTCGATGTTAGTGATGTCACCGTAGCCAGCAGAATAAAGGTCTGAGGACAATGATGAATTCCCACATCCCACAACCAAGAGTCCTTGATCGCGAACGGTACTCGGCGGGCAAAACAGCTCAAAGGCATCACTCAGCTCCTCGTATGTAGCGTACCAATCGAAAAGGCCGTCGGCATCTTTGAACCGTGTGTCCTCCGCTAGTTGCTGCTAGATTAACTAATCATGACATGTCGGACAGGTCTCACAGGTCGGACTGTCATCTTGCAAATGCCTACAAAAAGCCCTTCCCTTTCTGGCAAGAGTCCCAAAACCCCGGGTCGGCATATTGCAATTTCTGCATCTTGGATGCTTGATCTCCCTGATCGCACCGTGACCCCTGCGCACGTGCATACTTTGTCAAAGGACCAGCCAGCTCATCCAAATTCATTCCGTTTGGCTACGCCAATATGACCGCCATGGCATATGCATGTAAACCTCTGCCTAACAATTTTGTAGCCTTGCCACGCCCCCCCCTCAAGCTTACCACGCTGAAACCTCAGGCTCTCCCATCGAATGCAATCAGTGGTGCTGCCTTGAGAACGAGAGGCTTTGCCACCAGCTATGAGATGCTACTCGTATGAGACGCTATGAGCGAAGCGTAGATGCACACAAACCACCCTGCCAAAGCAGCAGAGCAACTTCCGACTTAGAGCTTGACTTGTGCCCTTCTCTTACCTGCTCAGCTACGCAACCTTCTGCCCAACGAACAGCAACGACTCCAGAGGACCAAGGGTTGAGCGACTCAAACATTGGGGATGAAGAAGCACATCTGTCTCAGTGGCTGTGGTCTTCAAGAAAACGCTTTTGTCTCCCCCGATTCCTGGAGGCCCGGGCATTAACACCTGTCTGAAGAGACACGCATGGGCCCGCGTTGTGGCACGGTCTGTAACACCGAATTCTCCTGCAGCTTGCAAACTCATGCAGCCTGACTCTGTCAGACTGCCCTGACCTACCCTACCTGCAGCACCTCTCTTTGAGAGAGTGCGTGAACAGAAAACAATTCAATGAAATGAAATGGGCCGAAGTTGGCATCTTGAGCTCCAAGATCGAAACGAAGAAACTTGGCCTCGGACGCATCGCCACACGTCATCGCAGCACCCAGTCCTGCGAGGTGGGGCTGCCTGCGGAGCTGTTGCTGTCACCTGAGCTCCATGATCTACATTAAAAATTATTAATCAACTGTTCATTGGACATTTTTTCACTATTACACTGCATTATTTAATATTTATTGTCCCTGGCTAAACTGTACTGAAGCCAAGAGATTTTCACATGACCAACAAACTCGCCAAGCGTCTGTGCTGCTCCAGGCGTCGATGCACAAGCGTCTCTGGCAAGGGTTTGTACCACAAACTCTTCAGGCTTTCCACGATGTTCAGCTTCGATTTCATATTGAAAGCCTGCCGCATCGACGTGCTGGTAAGGCTGCGGGACCTGCGCTCCTTTGCCAGGCGCCGGAAGAGCGTCTGTGACTGGGCAAACCTCGAGTGAAGCACAGGCAGCGTCTTGGGAGGCCGTGGTGGGGGCTCCTGCGTGAAGTCGAAACCTTCAGGAATCTGCTGTGCACGTGCAAGGCGCTCGGCATGTTTCTTCATCTCTGCTTCGAGGTCTGGGACAGGCTCCTCTGGGGGGGGCAGCTCCCACGTGTCGATGGCTTCCGGCAGAGCCACCCAGTTGGAACGGTTGACACCTAAGCCTTTTAAGAGGCGGCCCGTATTATTGGCTTCCATGACCTCTGTGGCTGTACGCTCCTCCTGTGGTATCTCATCCACAAACTGCGATGTGTCGGAGAAACCCCACTGGCCAGGCTGCCGGCTAATGCGGTGAGTTCTGCGCGGGATGACGGCCGAATGATCTTCAGGTGCTACTCCATACATCGGCTTGATACGACGCTGCACGCTGATTTCGACTGAGACCGTCGGTACGCGACGAAAGCCTGCCGTTGTCTTAACCTTGCTGCCAATAGTCGAGCCAGACACTGGGATGTCCTCGATCAAGGAATCACCGTTGCGGAGGTAAGAGATGTCGATGCTCGCCCGGCCCAGGAACTCGTCCTGATCCAAAGGGTCGATGCCTGCACCGATCATGGCGATCATGGTCTCGTCCCGGTCGAAGATGCTGAACATCAGCCGGTTGAGCTCGAAGGTCGTTGGGCAAGCGAAGTAGAAGGCCTCTCCCCATTCTGGACACAATGTCTTCGGAAGCACGCGGGTCCTGTGCACGAAAACCCTCTCTGCTCCTCTCGACATGGCCTCGACCACGCAGTAGGGATCGGACAAACTATTCTCATCAGCTGATGGCAGGCCAGTCGCACCACAGACAACGCCATGCACAAAGACGATCTGCTCCTTGCCGAAGAGCTCCCCTCGAGGTGGCCGACCCCGGACTGTTAGCTCCGTGGGAGGCGAGAAAGCTGTCTTCTCCCAGTCGGGCAAGGCCATGACGCGCTCCACATCATCTTCGTCAGCAACGTAGACAGCCTTCACACGAGGACCCTACTTCTCTCTTGTGCTCTTGTGCTGACAAGCGCGCTTGCTTTTGTCTTGCATGAGCACATATGAGGCACCCTGAGCACCCTGTGCAGGTGCAAGAAGCAGTCTGCACCGCACCGACAGTTGTGGCAAAAAACATTGCCCCACGTTCTCTACTTTCCAAGTGGCCTTGCCCAGATAGCAAAGCAAAGGCCTCAGAACTAGCAGCTTTGTCGGCTCTATGACACTGTACTCTGAGCTTCCGGCATGGGCTCCTGCTTTATCCTGCTTCGGATCTCCACCTATGACACTACAAGCAAGGCAGCTGGCAGTCACCGGGCTGCAAATCACGGCAAGATGCTGAGCCAGGTGCTGTTAACATGCTTTTCTCGGTCTTCTTCAGGTAGTAGACACTCCTTGGTAGAAAGTCTGCTTCCACACCTTGCAACCTACGGTGCACCAAGACGATGCCATACAAGGTCAATGAGCCCGTGAAACGCTGCACTGAGGGAGCGACTTCACCTTCTCTCTGAAGTCAACAGCTGCTTTCGAGAGCCTGGCCAAAGCTCGAAGTCACAGGTCGCGCAGAGGTCGCACATGGCTCTGGCTCCATGATGCTCTCTGTGCAGGGCCTTTCCATGCAGGAAGGTTTCGGCTTCGGCTCGGGTTCGATGAGTGATGTTTCAGACCTTGGACGCATGGCATGTGCTCTGAGGGCGAAGAGTGCAGGTCATTGGGTCGGAACTTCTCTCCATCAGAGATGCGACCATCTTCGACCTGTCATGAAACTGCCCCCCAAGCAATTCTTCAGATTTGCAGATGTGAGACTCTCGGGTGGCCTCACGGGGTACACCCATCCGCGTGAGCTTCTTCTCATGCAACTGACTCCTGAGAGAAAGAGCCATTGAGGAAGCTGAGGAAGTCACAGTGTTGTGCTCTGAGGCAAACGACCCTTTGGCGACCCTTAGGCGACCCTCGAACTCAGCGCAAGGCTCGCCCAGCAGCATCAGCTTGCGTCTTCGCTTGACCCCAGGCAAGCAGTCCCTGAGGAGCTGGGGATGGTGCACAAAAAGAAGGTGCAACACGGCGAAATAAAGCACAGGGAAGCACAGCACCAGGTGCCAGGCAACAGTGGCAGCACCGCCGTGCCCAAGTGCTGGCCATCCTTGTAAAGGCATGCTTCGATCTTCGAAACATCACTCCTGGCTTTTGGTGGCTTTAAAGGTTCAGATGCTCCTCTGCCCGACCAGGCCCATCCACGTCCCAAATGTCGAAGACCTGTCGCTCTCGTCACTCCCAGGACGCTGCAACGACCGTGACCGCCACTCAAAACACACACATTGAAGCGCCCTTCGGCGCAACAGTACGTGCAATACCATGCAAACAACCGGATCAAACTGGAACAAATCCTTGCCGCCGCTCCTTGTATGCAAAACTGATCAAGACCGGCTGAGGTCGCCGCGACTAGCAGCGGCTGCTCCAACAGCCCAAACTTTTGGCTGCACATCTCAGCAGAGCGAACAAGCGCTGCTACACAGTAACAGTATGTGGACTGTGCCACAGTCACTGTGGCATCTGACGTGCCATGCTGTGCCAACTCTGTGCTGATGTGCCTCGTCCCATCTTGGATTCAAATCATCTTTGATGGTCCGTGTGCGATGAAGCTCTCGAATCTCACGCAAAGATCAGAGAGCAGAGGACGTCGTCGAGAGCGGCACGGAGTGATGGTCAGAGGTTTGTCGCAAAGCAGTGCTAGCACCATCTAACACCAACTGGCACCTCGCCGCTCGCCAGGATCAGCCGCACAACGCACTGCGGATCACTCGATCCGACAAGATCTGCGTTCGGCAGGGCCTGTCATTCCACCAGTATGGGAGATTGCGTTGGTGGACATACGGCTAACCGTGCGCAAAGTGCCTTCGCTTCCACAATTTTGACGGACACCTCAACCAGCGGCACAAGAGTCATGATCATCGCAAAGCATGGCAAAACATCGACTAGTCACTAGTCACTAGTTATTGCCCTTGCAGCCTCCCGGATGTACTCAAGGACCTGCAGGCTCTCGATCAGGAGATCCATTGGCGGCTTCGGCTTTGGTACCACTTCCTGAGAGGTGAACCCAGAAATCCAACTCAGAACTCTTTTATTACAGAGCCCCAAAGAGAGCAGCCCATCTGAGCCCCAGAGAGCCAAAGCCGAAAACAGGCTCCTTGTAGACGGTGACAACGAGGGTCAGTCGCGGCTTCTTGCCCTTGGCCTCTAAAACGGCGCCCCCCCCCCCAGGCTGGAATGTGGGAACTCTAAGGTGGCTCAGAAAACTGCAGAGCGTGGAAGACACCTGCGTGTCTTTGTACAAACTTTACGTCTACACCTACTGCAAGAACACGGAGAGGGGACGCAGGGGGGAAGCCTTGTTCAAGGGCACCCCAGCCAACTCCAGCTCGTGCGTGAGCGCACCTCGGCGGCTAGCGCCCGCTCTCAGTGCCACATGGTGCAAAAAATGGGTGCAAGCCTTTTGCAGCTTGTTTCGGCATTCTGACTTGTCAGTCATCTTGGATTGCAAGTCACCTCTTTTCGGGATGTGCAACAACCCGTGCGCTTCCCCACACAACCTGCGACATGTCGAAGCCCGCTACCCTATGCCCTGTGCCAATCTTCACTGTACAGCCGAGATGCGGCCCGTAACTGCATTGGACAGGTCAATGTCGCCTGGGTTCAACAGATCAGAGGTTAACATGTCTTTGGATCCTCACTGCAAATGGGATGCTTCAATTGAATTGAGAGCTCCTTCGGCAGCGCTTACAACGATCCGATTGAGTGAGCGCTCAACGGCCAACCCTTCCGGCCAACCTTTGGTGGGGATCCTGGAGTGTACAACCAAGAGACATCCGCCAAGAAAATCTTCAGTGCCTGGGGGGGGGAGATTTCACATGTTTCAAGCTGCTCAACGCGAGAGCCACAGGTGCCCACCTAGAAAACTGACTGCCACCTCGTCTGCATCGAAGACCATGGCCTGCCCATGCGTGCACAGTTGTGCTCAGCTGGTACAGCAGCTCTCATCGGAAAGCCGAAACGTTTCGAAACCCTTTGTAGCGTCTCATGCAAGTACTGCAGTTGCCACATTGCGCTCACGCCCGGCCTTCAGCCCGACTAGCTCGACCAAACCCCACTCGACTGGGATGCGGAAGTCGAATTCTTCCTGTAAAAGCAGACTCGGCGAAGATGTGCAGCAGCTTGCTTGGCACCCTTCTTTCACCCTGGTCCTCCCATATTGGGGACAGTGAGTTCCTCAGCTCTGGTTCATTCAAGCTGCAAGTGCCTAGTCCATACTACGCCAGAATGGCTGTTACATGATTCACGCACTTTCTCTGCTCGGCGAAGCTATGCCCTGACTGCAACCCGTTTGCTGAACGTCTTCTGAAGACTTCGTGCCAACCGGATTGCAGTGTGTGGGTTCGCTATTAAAGGGTGGCGTGCCACCGCATTGTGGGAGCAGAGCCTTCAGGAAGCATAGAGCCTCGAAACGCAGATACATCTACTATTGCAAGGTATTGCGGAGTAGTGGCTGGTAGCGGAGAGTCTATGCTGGCGGTCTATGGGTTTGAGTTCTCCCCGGCTTCAAAGATTACACCAGCGATGACCCCAAACAGAATGTAGCGAGTTATACCAGTTCAAGTTGGAATACGTTGGAAGGAAGAGAACGACGAGCACCGAACAATTTCTCAGCTGCATGCGTTTGTCGAAGAAAGACAAAAGAGCTTGGTATTCGGATCGGCTGCCTGTCGCGCGGGAGAAAGTGGGAATTTTGCCGCGCATACTTTGGCAAAAGAAGTGGGAAAGGACTTCATGTTTTTGCTCAGAAGGCTTGTCAAGGGCTCCCTTTACACGGAACCGTTGACGATTTTTTCCGCAGACCCAACGAAGAGCGTCGCCCAGAAACCATGCGCGGCAAAAACAAACATTTTTCCCGCAACTGCTACAACGTTGCCGCATTGCAAGACAGGATACCTGGTCTCGGCTGCATAGGTTTGGGGAAAGAAAGAAGAGCTTGGTATCGGGATCGGCTGGCTGTCGCACGGGAAAAAGTGGGAACTTTGCCGCGCGCACTTTAGCAAAAGAAGTGGGAAAGAATTTGCGTGCTTAGAAGGCTAACGAAAGGCTCTCTTTACACGGAACCGGTGACGATTTTTTCCGCAGACCCAACGAAGAGCGTCGCCCAGAAACCACGCGCGGCAAAAAATGCAAAAACAAACATTTTTCCCGCTACAACGTTGCCGCATTGCAAGACAGGATACCTGGTCTCGGCTGCATAGGTTTGGGGAAGAAAGAAAAAAGAACTTGGTATTGGGATCGGCTGGCTGTCGCACGGGAAAAAGTGGGAACTTTGCCGCGCGCACTTTAGCAAAAGAAGTGGGAAAGAATTTGTGTGCTTAGAAGACCAGCGAGAGGCTCTCTTTACACGGAACCGGTGACGATATTTTCCGCACACCCAACGAAGAGCGTCGCCCACAGGATCTTGCTGTCACAGAAACCATGCACGGAAAAGAAACACATTTTTCCCGCAACCGCTACTGCCTGTCGCACGGGAAAAAAGAAAGAAGTCTGCTGCGCATACTTGGCAAAAGAACTGGGACAGGACTTGTTTGCTTAGAGAAGGCCAACAAAAACCTCTCTTTACATTTTCCACAGATACAACGACGAGCGTCGTCCACAGGATCTTGCTGTCACAGAAACAACGCACGGAAAAGACACGCATTTTTCCCGCAACTCTTTGTTGTGAGAAGCCCGAAGGGAGTGCGGAGCTGCTACTCTTTGCTGTGAGAAGCCCAAAGCGAGTGTGGAGCTGCTACTCTTTGCTGTGAGAAGCCCAAAGCGAGTGTGGAGCTGGTACTCTTTGCTGTGAAAAGCCCAAAGGGAGTGTGGAGCTGCTACTCTTTGCTGTGAGAAGCCCGAAGGGAGTGTGGAGCTGCTACTCTTTGCAGTGAGAAGCCCGAGTGTGGAGCTGCTACTCTTTGCTGTGAGAAGCCGGAAGCGAGTGTGGAGCTGCTACTCTTTGCTGTAACGAGTGTGGAGCTGCTACGCTTTGCTGTGAGAAGCCGGAAGCCAGTGTGGAGCTGCTACTCTTTGCTGTGAGAAGCCCGAAGGGAATGTGGAGCTGCTACTCTGTGCTGTCAGAAGCCCGAACGAGTGTGGAGCTGCTACGCTTTGCTGTGAGAAGCCGGAAGCCAGTGTGGAGCTGCTATTCTGTGCTGTGAGAAGCCCGAAGGGAATGTGGAGCTGCTACTCTGTGCTGTCAGAAGCCCGAAGGAATGTGGAGCTGCTACGCTTTGCTGTGAGAAGCCCGAAGGGACTGTGGGGCTTCTCGAGAGATCGAATTCGCGGCGCGCGACGTTTCGGTCGGCCCTGCTGCTTGACGCCAAGAGCTCGCCCTTACAGCCGAACTTACCGACGCAAAGAACACCAAGCCAACAAGAAAGAGTCAACAACGGGGAAACCGTTACTGTAGTGCCCAGAATCCCTCAGTCTTCTTCCATTTCCCCACTGATTGCTTCCATGTTATGCCCCTTTGGGCTTGAAGTTGCTTCAACGATGCCCGAGCAGCCTCCACTTGCCCTGCATCCACCCAGACACGAACGTTGTCCAACTGCATGCTCGCGCGAGCAGCCATGGGGCAACACACAAAAAGAACGAAAGAGGAAAAGAAAAAACACAAAAATTTCCAACCATAAGTGTCCGTCTACATATTGGCGCTTCTTTCCGTGGTTTCTGCAGGCCACTAGCATCTCATCATCATAGACGCGCGTTCTGTTTTGTTGGAAAAAGAACGCCTTGACAACGGTGTTCTGAGGCTGTGTTTCTATGTCCTGCCGAGGCTGCCAAGGGAAGCTAAACTTAACAAGAACTTGGAACCGCACGGCTTCCCATACAAATCGGAGACCAATGGTACGGCAGCCCCTTTGAACCCAGCAACAGCAAGAAAACATGAAACAGGCCCAGCCCTGTGACCAGCCCACCCAGGGAGCCCAGAAGGTAAAACATGGTGACGGCGCCCGTAAGAGGCCGTGTGACTGAACACATTACATTTTTCGCGTCGGGGCTGAAAACCCAAGTAAAACGCACATTTTCGTGATCACCGCAGCAGTTGCAGGGCTCGAAAACACTGAAGGGTTAGGTCATTTTTCCGGGAAATTCATTTTCGCTCGAAGCCTGATCGTTTTTGTTGTTGTTTTTTTGTCCAGGGGGCCTTTTTTTTTTGAAGTTTTGGATGCATTTTTTTTGCTCGAATTTGCGCTCTCGCCTAGGCGCAGGCACGTTTTGCTCATTCCCCATGTTGAACCTTCAATTGGCGATTTTCGTCTCGGGAAGTTTTTTCTGCGGTATGGCTCCGGCAGTTCAGGTTCGAAATAGTGCTCTCGCCACAGCGCAGGCATGATTTTCTGGAATTGTGCTTTGGTTTGTAACCCAACAGACCTGTGCACTGGATCCTGAAAGTGGCCTCAAGTTGATTCTTCTTCAGGGTTCAAGGTTCAAAGTTTAGGGTTCGGGTTGCAGGATTTGGGTTTGCACTGCTTGGACTATTCTTTTGGGTTTAAGGATCGTTTGTTTGTTGTGTTTTTTTCTAGGGGGTCTTGTTTTGAAGTTTCGGACACATTTTTTGCTTGAAATTGAGCTCTCGCCGCCTAGGCGCGGACGCGTTTTGCTTATAAACCCCGGATTAAACAGCAAGGATTTAGGCCTTTGGGGATTAGGGGGTTCAGGCTTTGGAGTTGCAGGTGTGCAGTCCCAAGTCACGTGATTAACCCCCCCCCCCCACCCCCCCACCCGAGCCCTAGAAATTGCGGTTACTCGCACGACCTCTTAGAGGCGCCGTCTCCTAAAACATGAAGGGAGCCGAATGGGAGCCCAGGCCCGTCGCCGCGGCCCACCCATCCCAGCCAGGGAGCCCAGAAAGGAAAAATGAAGGGAGCCCAATGGGAGCCCAGACCCGTCACCGCGGCCCACCCATCCAGCCACCGCGGCCCACCTTTTTTCTGAGGAGAGAACCCCAAACGATTCTGTTTGGGGAAAAAGTGGATTGGGGAGGACGTAGGCATGGCCATAGGCTGGTGCAGGCTCACCATGCTGCAAGAAACTGGACTCTTGAGCCCTCTTTCCTGCTCCGTTCGTGTCAGCATACTCGCACTCACATATGCCATATAACGATTGTGGTGACGCAATACTTTCTGGGCTACGGGATGTGTTCGTCATGTCGGAGGAATTTAGTCCGACATGGTTCATGTTGTTGAGGAGCAAGCGCGAAGAAACAGAAAACTCAGGAGGTCCAACAAGGTCCGAGGCTCTGCACAGTTCGAGTGACATGGATGTTCACCATGTGGTTGTTGGACCGGATGCCCTGCAGGGATTCTGGCTTCAGGGCTTTAGTATAGCCACTCAGAACAAACAACAAGGCATAAACAAGAGGCGCAAGTTTCCGGAATCCTCATTTCCTGAATCTCTTGCTTTGACTTGTACATGACAAGCAAGCTCAGGATCTCTACCCCTATGGATGGGACTGGGCATTGCCCTCCCCCCCCCACCCCCACCCCCACCCCCACCCCCCCCCAAATCGGGGAAGAGGCAATCCCGAAACCTTGAACCTTGAACCTTGAACCCTAAACCCACCGCGAACCACAGGGGAGGGGAAACCCAAAACCCGCCATGAAACCGCAAGGGTACCAAGGGCCGGGGGGGCTGAAGGCAGGAGTGCCCTCGCGTGGAATCCATTCAAGAATTGTGGGGGACTGCCTTGACCACGCAGTACGGATCCGACTTGCCTGTTGCATCGGTGTTCCTTGGGGCATGGTCACGTCTGCAGTATGCCTTCTAGGGCATGGTGGGCACTGAGACCTCGGGGGGGTAGAGATGCTACCAGACTGCTGCACTTGCCTGCAAGTCTCGGCAAACCCCGAGCCCCGACGACTCTGCCAATGATCCTCAGGTGCTTGATTTTTATTTTAGTTGTCGCTTGATTTGGGTGAGCCTCTATGCACCATCCAGGATGTCTACAGTCTACACTGTGAGTCTATGCCGTGCTCTGCCGTACTGCACGTATCTGCCACAGCCGTCTGCAAAAATCCTCCGAGTCTTTGCTCCCAGAACCGAAGCAGCACAGGCGCCTGTAGATTCGGCTGAAATGGCCCGGTGGCAAGACTTGCTTCTGTCGACTCATGGAGAAGGCTCATTCCTCAGTGCTTCTAAGGTTCCATATGGTTCCATGCAATCCCTGCTTGGCAGGAAGCATGCAACTCTTACATGCAACCATGCAGCAGCTGGGCCGACCTCTCCGGTGAGAGACCAGGTCTTGCTCAGACATTTGCAGAGTGTGACTTTGCTCAGCACTGTCTTCAGGACTTGACCCTTTCAGGGGTGGCTGATGTGGCTGACATGATTGGCGTGGCTGGTGTGGCTCATGTGGTGCTGGGCTCTGCCTTGGAACCGCTTGGTGGAGACCAACTTTGAGCCCCGATCTGAAACCAAAGCTTTGCAGTTCAAAGGCATCACGGTACAACAAGGCCTCGCACAATGCATCGCAACGTGAATCGCACAGTTTGAATCGCAATGTGAATCGATGTGTCCAGTGATTTATGGGATCTGCCTTTTTTAACTGCTTCCTGCAGTCCAAGCCCTGCAGCCACGTCACCAGTTTGACTGGCGTATGCCCGCAGGGGCAGATTGCAAAAGGCGTCAAAAGGCGTACTGCTGCTAGCGGATCCAAGCGCCTCTGCGGATTGCGATTGCGTCGAGTACAGCTCTCCCGTCATCTGGCTGCAAGAAAGAAGTGTATCAGCTCAAGGCAGGTAGCCTGAAGATCCTTTCAGCCAGTCACCAAACGGGTTCCTCAAAGAGACTGCCGGAACTCCTAAGTTCACGGCTGAGAGGCAGAGTTAGCAGTAGCTAGGCTACGGCGAATTCACTCAGCAGCTACAACACTTCACAACTCAGCATCCGAACTGCCACTGTGGAACACACGATGAACCCTGCAGAGGAACAGCTAGAAAGGATCTTCCCACAACAAAACCCACACCAACCCTTTCTGAAAGTGGCAGACGGCACTGAGTGCGCCTCAGACAGGGAAGGCTTCGAAAGCCTCCAAGCTGAATACGCCACCTGGCTTTCGAAGGCCACGACTCTGAATTCGGAGGCTCTGTGCAGCTCTGTGCAGCTCTGTGCAGGGCCTCCAATGAGTGCTATCAGCATGGACCTGAGCAAAGAGAGATGTTGGCAATTGTCAAGCGCTGATGAGCACTTGTGATTCGTGGCGAAACTGAGCCACCAACAACGGTGAAATGACACTATCCGTCTTCCCCAAGCAAGCCTGCTTCGGTGACTCTCTTCTTCCAAGGTTCACCAAAGTTCATGAGAGTAACTGAGAGTAACCTGCCTGTTCTGCTGCATGGAGGCTGGGCTCTAGTTCTGCTGCCCAGTCATCCTCAGAGGCAGAGTTCAGACAGAAGACATATTATACAAAAGCAGCAAAAAACCATCATCAGCGCTAAGGCACTCGTACTTGGCCAGGTGTGGCCAACAGGTTTTTCCCTGATTCTGCACAGGCGTTTGGCCTCAGTGTCGAGGTGGCATGCCCTGAGAGAGAGAAAAACTACGACACGACACTGCGTAACCCAGTCGGTGCCCGGCAGCGTTAGCGCGCTATCCTCACTTGGCATGACCTGGGCTAACATGGCTAACTTCTGCAAGTCGAGACCTGCTTGCACCGCTTTGCGCCGCCTTGCCTTGAAGCAAAAGGGCATGAAAAGTACCTGAATCGCATCAGCGTGCGGGTGAGGGTGCTGGGAAGCTCCGTGCAGCTGAGCAACGAAACAAAGCAAGACGAGAACCTCAGGTGTCTTTCAGCAACCCCCGTTGGCTCTTTCGTGTCAACAACAGCGGTCGAGCAGCATATGAAACTTCAATGGTACGGGTAGTCTGCTTTGCAAGCCACATGCGTGACCTCGCACACGTGTACAAGGATGAAGATGCAGAGAGCAAGGTGCTGCAATGGCTGATGGGATTCGTGCGGGTGCGACGCAAGCAGCTTTGTTTCTAGTGTTGTAGAAAGGCAAGTAGTTTGCCTCAGCAGGCAAACATCATTTGCGGCACAGCGAGCAACGTCAGATTAAGGCCCGATGTCAAGCATAAATCCTGGGCATCTCACTGACCACGGCGTGGATAAGGAGTGCACAGGCTCTGAGCCAAGATGAGTTGGCTGCGCCACAGAAGGAAGTCGCAGGGGAGCGACCACAGGGCAAAAAACGTGCATAGGAGTGCAGGCGACTGCGTTTTTGTCTGTCAGGCAGGTCTTCTGCTCGCCCGGTGCCGAATTGGATCAAGGCTTGCTCTTGCACCAAGTTTTGCAAGGCCACCTTTATCCACCCGACGGAACCTGACGCGACATAAGACACATATAGACACATGACACATGAGACAACCGACAGAAGTGACGGAAGCAACAACACCAGCAAAGAGTCTGTATGGGGTTGATGGACGCAGCGGGCTAACTCCCGCTTGCTTTACTCGCGTGGTGGCTTCGCGATGCAAATGCCTCAGAGGTCTGACTCGAACTTTGAGTTTTCAACTGTCTCCAGATATCAGGGCTCTCTATGGCTCTCTGCAGGCAGCACGCCGCCTTGACAATGATGCAGCCCCTTTTCGTGGAAACTCAAAGAAGCGCACAAAACGCTGACCACTGCCCCTGAGCTGTACGACTGTGCAGAAAGCTGCATGAGCTCTGGGCAGACTGGTATCACATCTGACACTTGCAAGCCCACCGGCTGATGCGATAGTTGGAACATGTTGGAACATGTTGCAACGGCCGCCGCAGAGCCATGAACCATCTACATATCTAAGTCCCAAGTGAAACAAAATCCCTCATCGAGGGGGCACATAGAAGGGCTCTGATTGGTCCTTCCCAATACATTCCCAAGGCATTCTTATCTCTGACAACCACTTGCGATGTAGTTGATGTGCCTCTCGGTGCAATGCTCCCAGGATTGGACCCGGTTGGCCAAAGCAAGCCGAAGCATCTGAGTGCTCAGATGCTTCGCCAGGAGACTTTGGCACTGTCCAAGTCCTAGGCTTTCAAGCCTCGTCATCTTTTGTTGAGCCACTTTCACCTGAAAGCAAAACAGGAAGAAGGCAAGCAAGACTGCCTAGGGCAAGCAGCGATGAGTCACTGCTTCCATGGTCAGCTAGTAGTAGCATGCCCAATGAAAAACTCACAACAAAGCCCGATGCACACTAAGACACATGCAGCGCATATCATGTCGATGGAGAACTCTAATCACCAACAAGCCGAGTAACCCCACGTCGCCAGGAGCATCTTGGGACGCAAACCAGCGTATGGGATTGGCGTCATGTTCCAAAAACATAAACCTGACTTTGGCTAAGGAATTGCGTGACCGTGGCAAACGCACACAAACAGACCGCCAAAATGTGACGCCAAGACCATCTCTTAATGACTCACGCCCTTGTCAAGCAGGTTCCAGATTCAAGTATGCATCCCTTGCTTTCTCATGCTGACGCCCCTACTGCTGTGAACACTGCTGGACCCTGCTTTCACAAGGAAGAATTCAAGAGGTGGTACTGCTATAGCAGTATCAAAATTCACATGCACACAGGATTTGAAGCATGGGCCTCGGACGAAGACGCACAAGTTGCTTGCGCTCTCGCCCTCAAGGCTTCGCTTCCAAGCTGAGTCGACTGTGACATGCACGGCCAGCTGCTGAATTATGAGTACGAGTCTGCACCTTCCTGCACCTTCTCCTCACTTGCTCCATGTGTTGCTCCATTGTCTTGCTTCGGCAGCTGGCCTCCTCATGTTTCTGGCTCTTGCTTGAAGCTACCACTTGGCACCTTCGTGCGCCTCGCGGAACTGCAGAGCTCTCTGGCTGTGGCACTCCATACCCATGCTCCGAGCTATGCTCAGAAAGAAACATCCTGCAAAGCAGGTGGTGAAACCCACCCGGGCTTGCTAGAGCCCAGGTGTAGCGGAGCCTCGGCTGTCATGGCAGGATGCAGCTCACAGGTCCACTTGAAGATATTTGAATCCAGAAGAGAACTCATTTTAACGGAAATCTGCTCCTAGAGCCAGGTGGCTGAGCTTCACCTTCGCACCGAGCCCGGCCCAAGGCACCAGCCCTAGGACTCTTGAGTCCCAGAGACGGAGTCCTCTGATGAAACGGACTGGACACAGAAAGGGGAGAGGGTAATAGGGATGTTTCTGGTCCAGGGCTTTTTCGCTCAGCGAAGTGGCTCCCGCTCATGGCTTTGCTGCAAGCTGTTACAAGATGAAAACCCGATGAGATGGAAGAGCGGCTGCTGCTTATGTTCCAAGAATGGGCGGAACACATTACAGGAGAGTTTCGGCCTAATGTGCAGCTGAGGTTCTGGACCGCACCTCGCATCGCCACGGTGCCAGGAAAAATGGGGCTCCAGAATTTGGTCTGAAAAAAAGACTTGGGGTGGCAACATTGAGTACAGTTCGCCGGGTTTCCTGTACTCTTGGCCACTCGGAACACTGCTGCTCCGTCAGTTCTAAGCGTTGTTTATTCTTTCTCCGGCCCTTCTCAGACGACGACGCTTGGAAGGACCGCGGGAGGTTAGAGCGCGAGGACCTGGGAGAGAATGCAAAGACGCAAAAAGCCTGCAGCCTCCGTTACCTGCACGTTTAAGTCGACCGCCGCTGGCGGCGACAGTGTGGACTTGATGGGGTCCCACGGGTTCTGCAAGCACGCGACTCAAAATGGAGTTTTCAACGCAGACCAGCATTGCAAGCCGTGCTGCAAGCCGCACCTCATACCCGGTGCTCTCGGTGTCACATGTTGTTGTAGCCACGGATATGGAGCTGCTGGTTCTGCTCAAGTGACTCACATGTGGCCTGCACAATGACTCAAATCCACTGCCCTCTCCCTGCGAGCACTAGCTGCACAGTCTAGTCTCCGAATCCAAGTCTGCAAAGCGCGTCAGCCGCACCGTTTCAGGGAATGCGATGAGGTCAAGGACAGCAAGCGCTTGATGACCTCTCGGCTTACAAGCCCTGTCACGTCACGCATTTTCATGCAACTTACAGTCTTTCCGAACTGCTGCCCACCTTCTCCAGATCGCATGTGAAGTTTGTGTCGTCCGTCCTGGGCTGTAAACACCACTGCACAGAAAAAAATGCTTGCAACGAGGATGAAGCAATGGTGTTGCATTGCTCTGCTTTCAGAAGCAAACTGAGGGCTGGACCGCACAGCGTGCAGAGATTGGAGGAGCGTGACAAGTTTGTCCTACGTCTCAGGAAGCGCAGGCACACAGGGCTGGAAGTTTGTGGGTGGCCTTGTTTTTTACCAGGATCTGCTGAATTCGCGCTGGCTTCTGCGGGTTCACCACGAATATCTTGAACCTCATCAAGCTGACTCAGGCTTGCACTGCCTAAGGTCTGTCGACGTAGGACGTAGGTTGTGCGGCTGAAGCCCATCTGGACGTCGAAGAGAACATCAAGACGTATCAAGACGGCATCTGAGCCGCTGGCACATGGAATGCTTCTGCTTGGATGGCCTAACTGACAATTAAACCCGAAGTGTTGGTTTGGTCAGATCCTTCGCAAAGACTCAAATCCGAGAGGTTCGCATGAGAGTCCGCCAGCAAAAGGTTCATGAACGTCCTTGGCATGTTCACAGAGCATAAACCCTCTCAAGATGTCTCAAGAAAGGGGACATGGCCGCCCTTGAGGAGGCTGGGGCGACAACTTCAGATGCTGTTCGTTGTTGACGAAGTTCATCATAACCCTGGAACCAGCTTCAAGTGAAGCTCAACTGTTCAAGCGGTGTGCAAATGCACGACATGATGAGAGCAAAGCCCAGGCCTCTGATAATTCCGATCCATCAACATGGCAGCCAGAAGTGTCAATGCCTGCATCATTTCGGCACTCGTGGGCTTCTCTCAAAAATGCATGTAGTCGGCACGGCCATGATCTGGCCTGTCGCTCCACAACATAGTCCTGCTAAGGTCAATTTCATCATGAGGCACAGGAGACGTGATGCCCATGAAGTGATATGTGCGTCCTGGCACTCAAGGAGCGGGGTATACAAAAGGAAGAACCTCTAGCAAAAACATCTCAAAGCATCTCGAGGCATCTCAAGACAAATTGCCGGAAGCCGAGGCCGGAGCTCGTCGTAGTTGGCCTGAAGCCATGGACCTGAAACCTGCGAAAGTCAGCTGTCAGAGTTAGGTCGGTCTTTTGACATTCTTTGATGGCTCCGCCTCTTTGTGTTCGAGCATCACTGTCCGAAGCGTGTAGATCCTTCCAAGGCACTCGGACTGACCAAACCTGCGGCCCTCTGGCTGCAGCTTTGACTAGCTACTGAGCGGTATTGAGGTCGTCGCGCATCCGCAGCCACGTCCATGCTAGGATGCCTGGCGTAGCCTGATAACACATAACGCAACCGTTCTCGGATGCGCTTCAGGCTGTGATGGACAGCCTTGCCACCGCGGCAACTGGGCCACAGGCCGATCAAGTCATAAACTTTTCCGCTGATGAGGAAGCTCTCCACCTTACGGCACAACACCGTGTGTGCTTTGAGACCCTCTGAGGGCCCTCAGAACCAGTGCGAGTCTAAGTGGCAAGTTGCCCATACCGAAAGAAGGAGCGGAGAACCACACCCGAGTACAAGGCAGCCTGCAGATTTCAGGTGCAGGAGTCTGCAAAGCTCTGTGTGCGGCTTGCGTCCTCCTCATTCGCGTAGCTGTCCATCAGCTTGGCAAAAATTGTTGGGTGAAACCGAACATAGTCCATGACCTGCATGGCAGCATCGCGGTCTCTCAGAAAAGTCCGGTGCCAGACTCTTTGGCCTGGGCAGCCACTTCTTCGGGCAGATCTGGCCAGAGGAGGGCACAGCAGACGTTCATCACATCCTGCCACGGCAATGTTCAAAGCAACACAAGCAACACAACGCCACACAACGCCACACAACGCCACACAGCAAAGCTGAAGGTATGCAAAGCAGCAACGTCCTTTCGCACTTCGAACTCCAGGCTGTTGAGCTGTGAGAGCAGTTGCACCTCGAGCAGATCACTTACGAGCAGTTACGAGCAGTCGCGCGTGCACTCTACACAATGACAGCGAGCCCCGGCTGGCAGATCTGCAGCAAGGAATTGCTCGAGAACACGCAGCTGATCTTGCGTAACCTCAATTTCACTTGCAAGCCCCTCATGGCTTGCAGTAGCTCGATGCTCGTACATTTTGCTTGAGGTGGGCACCTTCACTCGGCCATGAAGGGCATCGGGTTTTCCATAGGTTTCAGACAACTCCTCGACTGAAGCCGAATGAAAGCTCGGGCTCGGGTTGACTGTTCGAAGCAGGACTTGGAGCACGTTTTTGGGGCACGGATCTTCAAATGTCGTCTTCGTGAAACACTGAGGCACCGTTACGGCACCGTTCTAGCACCAAGCTCTGGGCTCCGGAAAAGGTGGTGCTCTGGCGCTCTACTGTACGACTGTACGGCTTTACGTATCTCACAACTTCTCCACTTTCAGCGGCTAGAAAGGCCAGAACAGCTAGGCAAAGCAAGCTCAGCGCCGCTCTACAACGACCAGCCTCGCAATTCTTGGCTCAAGCTTAAGGAGCGCGGGCTTCATCGCATCTTAGCACTCTTAGGTGGGGACAAACGTGATCTTGTCCTTTCTTCTCCGCATCGTCGATGTCGAGCCAAAGTCTCTCCTTCCGCTCCCATAAACACGCGAGGGCTCCGGAAGGGGAAAGCCGAGATTCAACCGTGGCAAACGTTTGCAGCCGCATGCCCGCACGCACGCAAACCCCAACAAACCCCAACATTCCAACAATCCCCTTGCACGCGGCTCCAACTGCAACTTCATCTGCAAGTTCTCAGTTTGAAGCTGCTGAATGATCCTCAGCCGTGTGACACGTATGAATGCGTCAAGACAGGGCAACTGGCTGTGGGCAAGCATCTTCGGATCGTATTCTCTCGTGGTGGTTTCGCGGAGGGTCATCTCACGCACGGTGGTCTCCTTGAGTGGTGGTCGAGTGCCCTATGCGGCTGAAAGTGGTGGCACGGCTGCGAGCGGCCTTAATCTTTCCAGACCCTTCTCCTGGCACAAGAACGAACTTCGCTGAGCTGGCCACAGCCAGCAAGACAGTTTTTGAATCTCTCTCTCTCTGGCTCTCTCTCTCCTTCCCTCCCTCCCTCCCTCCCTCCCTCCCCAACACAAAAATAGGTGAAAGGCCCTTGAAAGGCCCCAAGAAGCGCCTTGTTGGAGAATCTGGGTCTGCCGAGCCCACCGTTGGGCCTCTGGCCAGCTCCCATCGCCAACAGCGGCTGTGGGCGCCACCGCGGGGGGCAGCGCGGCCTGACTTCTCCGGAAGTGCAGAAGCGTTATTATTATTATTATTATTATTATTATTATTATTATTATTATTATTATTATTATTATTATTATTATTATTATTATTATTATTATTATGATTATTATGATTATTATGATTATTAGTATTGTTGTTATTGCTATTATGATTATGATTATTGTTATTCTTGTTTATTATTATTATCATTGTCATTGTCATTGTTATTGTCATTGTCATTGTCATTGCTATTGTTATTGTTATTGTTTTTGTTATTGTTATTGTTATTGTTATTGTGATTGTTATTGTTATTGTGATTCTTGTTGTTTTTAATATTATTACTACTATGATTATTACTATCTTCCATTTTTGTTACTACTATTCTTCCTAGCATTACTGCTAGTATTGCTATTAATAATAATATAATTATGAGTACTGCTTCTTTTATTCTTATTAATGACTGCACAAGGAAGTCCAGATGCCTCGTCACTGATGCTTGCACGAACTGCATCAAGACCATTGAGCAGCTGCCGCTGAAATGGGGGAGCAAAGGATTCTTCGCCTAAGTTCTTGTCAATGCACAACCAAGAACCCGAAAAGTTCATGAGGGCTGCTTTGTCTGCCAAGAAGCGCGTGGCAACAAGTGCCACCATGCACAAACACACAGCAAGAAGAACCAGAAGAATCGTCCATCGACAGTAAGGACGCTTGTGCTGGTCCTTGCCCGTGAATGACATCTCTCTCCCCAACTGTTACAGCTCATCGTGCGCCGTCCTTCTGCTGCAAGCGCTTGTGCAGCTCTTTGTTGGACCGGGTCCTGTGCCACTCTTGCTTTCAAGCATTGGGACATTCGCCGCCGACAAGCCATGCTTAAGCTAAGTCTCAGTTCGTTGGCGTAGCGTGACGTCTTGGACAGTTCACGCTGCTGTGACTTGAGGAAATCCATCAATGCCAGAGCAGTGTCCCGGGGTAAATGATTCCTGAGATTGTCTTTTTGTTGGCTTTGCAGCGCTCTGCAGTACTCTCCACACATCTTCACACTCTGTCCCTGACCCCTTGGCCCGGCAAACCTGGCCAAATCCGACCAAGCGTCAGGATGTCAAACTGCCACCTCAGCAATGTCACCCGGAGCTTCGGCTCTGTCAACTCGGTGTCAACTCGGTGTCAACTCCGTACCAAGATGCTCAAAGTTGATGGACGCCTCGTGCTCATGTCCGGAGTCCTAACGATCGGTCTCCACGGTGCAGTGCGCAAAACTTGCACATGGTTCAAAGTTGCACCACGATACAGCAGGTTGATTGCAGCCATGTGCAAGCAGAGCGTCTTCTACAGATCTCGGAATGGCAGGGCCTTGGATTCGCAATGATTCGCGCTTTTTCACTGTCTTAACTGAACACAGCGACCATTGGCGATAATTCGGATCCCCTTCAGCTTCGAACTCGTCCCTTTCTCACCATCAGCATTCCTGGATTCAACTTCAAAGTTGAAGCACAGGCTTATGGAACCAGACACCCGTCCTGGGCGATGTGGCCCTTGAGTTTGATGGCGTCTCTAGAGAAAAATGAGGCAGGACAAGCTGCCTTGGCAAACTCCAGTCGGCACTGAAGCGACACCATCTAGGCTACGTAGATGTGCAAGAGCATGAAGAAAACTACTGAGGCATCAACGCAGGGGCTGCTTCTTCAGCCTGCAACGACATGAGAATCAAATGAAGCCAAGTTATCAAAATAGGATGAGTTTTGGCACCTGCCTGGCCCTTCGCTCTTTGCCTCAGTCCCTTCCGCTGGTCCTGCAGGGATTAGCGATGAGGCCGATGATACACTGCGACAATGGGGTCGCTGTCCTGGCTCCCTGAATTCGTGCATTCCGGTTCCAGCTCCATCGCCACAGGAGATGCGGTCATGGCGACCAAAGCCAAAGGGCTTAAATCTGCTGCGTGAATAATTATTCTAAATTCTAACTGCTGCGTGGATTGAATCGCTGCGAGAAATAGAGATTACGCAGTCTTTGAAGATGCAGGATGCATGAGCTGAGCCTCTCTAAACGTTCTGGGCCGCATACGGCTGCGTGTGATCCGCAGTGCACAGTGGAGATTGTAAGACAATGCAACGGTGCTGCCCCCAAGATTGCACGTCACAACACACAGACACATAAAAGCACACAAGACAAACCCCGGTCCTTCAGCAAATTCAAGATGGTGCGCAGATGGTTGTGCACCTGGGCTCGAGATTTGTTGAAAAAACTTTGGAGCACAACGAGCAAAAGCCTAAGGAGGCGACGTCCTTCCAAAGATCTTCGGTCTTCTTTGATGGCGACCTACAATGGGCAACTTGCCGAGCTACCACTGAGATTCGATGCCGTATATGTAGATGGAACCACATGACTAACATGGAACATGGAACTTGATAAACTTACGTGCATCAATGCCTACCTGATGTCCCCCAGGTGCCCAACTCAGACGAGCTTGGGCTGCAGAGAAGCTGCTCAACTTCGTCCGTCAGCCTTACGACGTCGCGTCTGTTCCTCTCTGGATGATACGGAGGCACGGCTTAGGTGCAGAATCTGCATGTGTTTGTGTGCTGTGTTTGTGTTTGTGTGTTGTGTTTGTGTTTAAGGTAGATGACATGCGGTGACATGCATCGAGCAACCCACTGGCGGTAGAAATGCGACTGTCGTGACATCAACTTCCAGGCCCCTGACTTCTGCACAGCGTCACGGGGGCTCGGCCTCAGCACGTAACTCCAACTGTAGCATAACTTGTACGTACAAGAAACAAGCGAGGGAAAGCTAGCATTCAAGCATGCGGCTGTTTGGTGGACTTGCGGGCGACCGGCAAACACCTGCCCCAGCCATGTCCCACAAGGTTTATAGTAGACGGATCCAGATCCGAAATCACCAAGTCAATTTCAGCCTTGGTGCTCCCATGCGCCGAAACAGTTCCTGACACTTCAACTAGGAACCATGCCCGCGTGGAGCATTCAAGTAACTTGCGATCCGTTGCAGCGATTCTCCTGCGATTTGAACAAGATACCCATGATGACACCTCAGTTCCGGAATGGCGCGATGGTCTCGCGGCCAAACAATGACTTCGTCACTAAAGCACATTGGCAGACTGTGGGCTGCTGCGATATCCAATCTCCTCCAAACCCTTTCAGCAGGAGATCCCTGCTGCTAGCGCGGCCTTCACCACAAAACCCGAAGAAAGAGAAGCATGGATGCTGCAAAATCATGTGTGGTCATCTTGAAGCATCGCCATAATTAAAGCAACAAGTTCTTGCTGTCCCTTCCACAACGTCACACTCAACATGACTCAACATGAGGCCATGAAGTTGCGCCTGGTCACGGCCGCTATTCCAGCATGATGCCTCGGAAAGCATCTCTTCACCAAACCGCTTCGTCACATCACGAATGCATCTGAGACATGGACGCTCTGGATGGCTGCGCCTGACAAGCAGGACCACACCATCACAAGCACATCAAGAAGCCTCATCTGACTATGACATCCGACATCCTCGGCTACCTAGTTGGGGACTGCGACACAAAAGAACACGCCAGGCCTGACTGCGCGCAGCCGAGGCTGACAAGCCGTTCAGGTCCCGGCCTAGTTTCAAAACGCAGCTAAACTTTGCTTTTGCTGGTGGAATCTGACGCAATCACGTCTGAGTATCAAACCACCGGGCACCTGCCTCCCTTTCCCGCACCCACCCAATTTGCCTCAAGCTCAGCTGCGGTTCGTCGGGTGCGTATGCATCGCACTGCCATTGCAGCAAAACAAGATCTAGTTCACTTTTCTGTTTTCCAAAATAGGCGTTCTCGCATTCATGAGCACAAGGTCTTCAGACTTCAGACGGCAATTTTGACTCTCTTATCCTGCAAGCGTGCTTCCAGGACTTACAGATTTTGCACATGCAAATCAGACAAAATTGCGTCCACTATCTTCAACTTTGCGAACACATATCCAGGGAGGACAGTGCCCACGCGGCTTTACTCTTGAGACTATGTTCAAGCTCGTTTCTCCGAGTGGGATGGGTGGGCTTAAGAATGTTATGACAACCAACTCGCTCTCTCAGCAACTATTTTTGCTTGAAAGGACTCATTGTACTGGGAAGGTTTCGGGCAAGGCCCCTTAAGGCTTCTCAGTTGTACACAGCACGAGTCTGGTTCTCATTGATATTGAAAGGACTTGCGTAGGTTTAAACAAGACGTTTGGCGCGCAAGCAATTTCAAGAAAAACCATAACATGCTACCAAACTCATCGCCAATGCAATGATGTCAAGTAAATTGACAACCCAGCTCCAAGTTAAACTCAAAAGCCCGGGCCACGTGCAAGACCCGTTCCTTCACCTCTCATGGCAAGTTTGGACACTGTTGCCACAACCGCCTGCAGGTAGATGTTCACGATTTTGTGTGAAGCCCACCCTCCCTCCGCGTCGGCGACGCTCACTGTCCTCTGTGATCTGAAGAGGTCGAAAGGCCTTCCCCCTTCAGAAGGGGAGATGCCAAGGCAAAGAGTTTCAGGTACAAGCATTTCCGCAACGTCTTCTGGGTACGCTGCCAGAGCAAGCAACTTCTTTCCCAAGTCACCAAAGCCACGTCAACTAGATCGACATGTTCAGTGAACAGCTCGGGGAAAGACCATAGTCTGATTTGGAAGATAAGGTCCTCGCCAACAAGACACCGTAGCAGATCATGTTCGACTTTGACGACAAGGACGGAGTGACACCGCGACGAGACCAGTGCGAACACGAGTTGTTGAAGGGGTTTCTATGGTTTGGCTGGCTACACCAAGGACATGGGCGACGAACGAACACAATCGGAAAGCCTTCCGCTACGCCCCGCGCAGGGCAGTCGTGGAATGCCACTTCGGTTCCTTTCGGATCCCTTTGGCGCAATGCTGCGAAGCCATTCACGGTTTCGCAATAATGCCAGTAAGGCATGCCGAAAGTTCACGGCCCAAAGTGACTAGCGAAGGCACTCAGGCTCGACCGGGCGGGCCCCAATCAAGGTTTAGAGAGTTGTCACGCTGCAGGGCCCGCCATCGAAAGCAATGAGCGGGCTCTACCTTGCCGTGAGCTGGCTGTAAGCGCTTTCAGGAAAAAACCAGTGGGAGCGGGACATAAAACTTGTGAGGAGGCAAGAAACTCTCATCGATGACGCCTTCGCGGAAGTCTCCGAAAGGGTAAGACGTGCCCCGATTTTGAACGCACGATAGTAACGTGGGGTCGATTCTTTTGGTGTGGCCTGGTGGCCAAGTGTTGTACCCAATGTAGGTGTTCTTGCCAATCCGGACTTTGTTGTCGTCGGCAGGTCTCTTGCTTGGCAGCAGAAGGCAATTTTTGGAGTGGCCTGCAAACACAGCAGCCAGGTGGAAGTGCCTGCAGCACGTGGCTGAGAGAGGTGTTAATCAGGCAAGAAGGTATCACCTGCATGTGGATATTATACTTCGAGCATGCATTGGTTGAGCATTGCCTGCAAGCTTACAGACCTTGTGGGAATTGCCAACCAAAAACCATGTGAGCAATGAGTTTCACCTTGCTCCGTACAGGGAAAGCTTGTGCCACGACAAGCCTACCTGAGCGAGGACCAACCTACAGGAAGCGAGTAGGTTCGTTCACCTCTGCGTGCATGAAGAGTTCGTGCTACGAGCGCATCGCCCAATACCCGGATGACCCAGACGAGAAAGTAGGAACCCGTCAGTACTGTGAAGTCTCGGGGTGTCAAGCTTTTCTATTGTACCAAGAGAGCCCAATAGCATGTCATTTGTATAGTTGTTTGGCATGCGCAGCTTCGCACCCGTCAGCGTCTTTGATTTGAGCAAAGCGAGTTTAGTGCAAGGACAAGGCGGCAGACTGCTTAACGGCACAGGCAAAAGCACGCGTCGTGGCGGAAGTGCGCAATCCTACCAACAACGCTTGGGACAGCGCGCCCGTGACAACTGGAGCTGACAGGCACACGTGTCGCAACGCCTATCAGAACACCTTTCGTTCTTCAACGGCGTCGGTGCGGTGAGCGCATCAATCTTGCTCACCTTGTTTGGGAGACCCGTCCAAGATGCATACAGGAGCTCACGGCTCACCACGATGTACAGTGTGTTGGGGACCACTCGGCTTGGTTACAACAGGCAAGTATGTCATCGGGTTTCCCGTGCCTTTCGACTGCACTGCAGGACCTTCGATCCGACCCATTCGGCACGAACGGCAATCCGGATGCTGGGCAATACCTTCATCGATGTGGAACATGACACTCGATGCCAAACCAAGCCTTCCCAGTCCCGGTGCTTTCCCTGATCGAGAACGAGAGTGAAATCGCGGATCCACTACATCTCCAAAAGATTGAACATGGCTGCCATCATTGTGGACGCTGCGGACGGGCTCCTCATGTCCAGGAGACTGTTACGGTGGCCTTCAATAGTGTGGGACGCTCCAGATGGTGTGTAAACCAGTCTCTCTGGCTGTTGATCTCTTGGCCTTCTCGAGGTTCCTTCCAAGATTGGAAGAATTTTCTCTCTTCCCCATTCGTTGAATCTTCGGAACTCCTCGTCCGAGACCTGTTCTCCACTCCTTGGCTAGTTGTAACCACAGAAAAAAGTTGACCGCTCGCCCTGCTCTTTTCAACCTCGTCTTCAGGCTCTTCCTCCTCGCTCATGGTCAGTGACAAGGACGCAGCCTAGATGGAGAAAACAGGCAGTCCTGGAATTGACAGGATCTCCATGAACAAAGAATGCACCGCAGATTAAGCCCAGTCACGCGGCACCATTGGACCATGAAAGGAACGAGAAGCAGAAGAAGAAGAAGAAAAAGAAGAATAAAAAGAAGAAGAAGAAGAAGCAGCAGAAGAAGAAGAAGAAGATGAAGAGGAAGAAGAGAAAAAGTGTTCATTGAATACGCACCGACTATGCACAGGCAAGCCACGCCGTTCCGTCAACGCGCGCTGCATGACCTAGCCTGCGCGTGGAAAGGGAAGGCGAACCACCTAGACAAAGAACCCAAAGGGGTTAGGGTCTAGAGTTCACAACGCACTTCCCTTCTTTTATCACGGGTGCTGCTCTGGGCGAAGTAGGCAGTCGGCTGCAGTAGGAAATCCCAGGCGGGTAGTACTCCAAGGCAGGCATCAACCCCTGTAGGCTTGGAGCCTATACAGAAGGTATCGGTCAAACGTGTGCCATGTAGGTGCTATGAAGCACAGAGGAAATGTACACATAGAGCCGCTAGTGGCTGGTTGCCAGCAAGACGGAAAAGACAAATCATCGATCTTCGAAGAGGGAACGCAATCTGCATCGGAACCTCAGGATCCTGCGAAAAGCGGTCGTAAAAAGCGGAACCACTCCAAAGCAAGCTGAACCGGCCTGTCCGAAAGCAGCTTTCGGAGCACTGCGACGCAAGACCGAAGAACTGCGGACAATACTCATGACGCACCCCTGCGAGCCGGCCAGCACCCTCGCGAAGCCAGCCCCGCAAGCATAAGCGAAAACGAAAGCAAAGCACGCTCGCATTGAGGACCGCAACAAGGCGGCAACCGCGCCGCATTGACGCCGACGTAAGCAGCGTGTACGATGAAGCTGTTCCAGGCTTTTATAAGAGGCATGAATTGTAAGTAAAGGCGATGCTCTTGCCCCAACGACACGAAAACAAACAGCGCCGAAGAAGGCATGAACAGGCAACGGCGCTCGAAGCTTACATGGCTGTAGGACACACATAAAAAGCGTCCGCACAAGACACCCGATCAAGCTAGAGGCAAGTTTGCGATGCAATGTCAAGAGACATTCGAGCACGCGTGGAGCTCGTGAATTCGGTCGCTCCAAGAACCAACAAAAAAAAACCAAATTGCTGAAATTTACATTAACAAAATGGCAATTCTTGGCAAGAGAAAATCACCCAAGAACTGAGAATACTGGGCCTTTTTTGGAGGGTTTAGGCAGCCGTTTAAAAGGCGTAATACTTGCTGGGCCTTCGGAGGGTTTGGACAGCAGTTTTAAGAGGCTTATATAATACTTGCTGGGCCTTCTGTGGAGGGTTCAGGCAAACTCATACTGCGA